AGCATCATTTAGAAGTATTAGAGAAAATTGCGAAACGCCTCAGATCAGCTAGTTTAACTGTAAATAAAAGCAAATGTCACTTCTGCCGTCCCGAACTTCATTACTTAGGCTACATTGTGGATCGTGATGGACTTCATGTTGACCCTGGAAAGGTTGAGGCAATTGTAAATATACCCGTTCCAAACAACCAAAAGGCTGTCAGGCAATTTTGTGGCACTGCCTCATGGTATAGGAGGTTTATCCCAGATTTCGCCTCAAGAATGTACCCGCTCACTAGACTTCTTAAAAAGAAACAACGGTTTGAATGGGGAGAAGAAGCCCAGAAAGCTTTTGAGGATATTCGGAGCTGTTTAGTAAAGGCCCCAATCTTAACCTGCCCGGACTTTGCAAAACCGTTCACTGTGTCATGTGACGCTTCTGGTGTGGGCTTGGGTGCGGTGTTGAGCCAGCAGAGTGAAGTCAAAGACCCTGCAACCGGAGTACCAGTTGGGGAAAATGTAATTGCATATGCAAGTCGGACCCTATCCCGAACTGAGCAGAAATATTCAGCGACGGAGAGGGAATGTCTGGCTGTAATATGGGCGGTGGAAAGATTTAGGCCATACATAGAGGGTACCCACTTCACTGTAGTTACCGACCACTATAGCCTCCTGTGGTTACACAACCTTAAGGACCCCCAAGGGAGACTTGCTAGGTGGGCACTTCGCCTACAGCCGTACAGCTTTGACCTGGTGCACAGAAAAGGAAAGGAGCATGTCGTGCCCGATCTACTTTCAAGAGTCACTTTATTTGGAGGGAAAGAAGAGACACAAATCCATGCCTTGCAACATCACCGAGAAGATACCAACGCAGAAGAGGACCGAACTCCAGGGCCAGAAGAAAGTCAAGAGGATCAGTTAACCGGAAGAAAGGAAGAAGATACCAGAGACAAGTGGTATGCGAAGATGTGCCGAGAAGTGGAACAGAAACCTACCAACTATCCCTGCTGGAAACTGATGAATGGTCTCCTTTGGAAATTTATAGCCTCCAAGAAACCCACTGATGGAGATGATGAAGGATGGAGGAAAGTGTTGGACAAACATTCTCGTACCCAGATACTTCAACAATATCACGATGAGCCCACAGCAGGACACCTGGGCATAACCAAAACTTTGGCTAGGATTCAAAGCAACTATTATTGGCCGAAGATGAAACAAGATATCGCCCGATATGTGAACAGATGCAAGGTCTGTCAACGAGTCAAGTATGACCAGCAAAAACCATCAGGTTTCATGGGTTCCTATCGTGGGGTTTCAAAACCTTTCCAGATGATTAGTGCTGATATACTTGGACCGTTACCTAGATCATCTTCTGGACATAAATACTTATTAGTGGTGTTGGATACATTCACCAAGTTTCCTTTGTTATTCCCGCTTAGAGAAAATACAGCTAGTGCTGTGGCCAAGAAACTTGAGGATGATGTCTTTATGATGTTTGGCGTTCCTTCCTATTTGATTGTTGACAATGGATCTGAGTTCAAAGGAAAACAAGTTCAGGAATTGGCAAGGAACTATAAGATTAAAATATTGTTCAATGCAAGAAGACACGCACAAGCCAATCCTACTGAACGTGTCAACAAGACTTTGGGTCCCATGCTCAGGGCATATGTTGGAGACAATCATCGACACTGGGATCGCAATATCGCAAAGTATGGATTTGCCCTTAGGTCAGCCAAGCATGAAGCAACGGGGTTCAGCCCAGCTTATCTCAACTTTGGAAGAGAATTAGTCGCATTTAATGAAGAAGCGGATCAAGACTCCTCCGAAGATATACCAACGGTTGAAAATAACTCAAAGTATGGAGAAGGCTGGAAGGAGCTTCGAAAGATTTACAAGGATGTCAGCGATAAACTTCAACGGGCCCATGAGAAGAACGCTGAGAGGTACAACCTACGAAGGAAGGATGTAGTCTTCAAAGAAGGTGATTTGGTCTGGAAAAGAAACTTCCCTCTATCGAATGCTGCTGAATTCTACTCGGCTAAGTTGGCACCTAGATACACAGGTCCTTACGTTGTCTCAAAGAAGATCTCCTCTGTTGTCTATGAGCTTCAAGATATGGATGGAAACTGCATTGGGTCCTGGCACACCTCAGACCTTAAGCCGTACTACTAGACAAGAGAAAATTGGGGCAATTTTCTTCAGGCGGGGGAGTGTGTGTAACGTCTAATTTCCACTTCAGTTTGGCTTAATTAAGACTGATCATCTTAATCAATTAATTATTTCGGGAGGAAGCGCGCGCCTGCCTGGCCGATAATATGGAAACACAGATGTAACACGGATTGCCTAGCTTGCATTGAAGGTGCCCAGAAATGTCTAAAAAGGACCCTAGTTAGCTGTTGAACCAAGTCAGTTGAAGCACTAGGCTGCCGTGCCTGCTCATTCAGGCCTAGAGTACAAGGGTCAAAATCTGAGCTGACTCACTCACAGAGACCAGGACAACGTTAGAAGGAAGTGTTTGGACATCTTGGCTGCTGAAGACCCTCTGCTCTATTTTGAGGATTATTTGCATTTTGCGAAGAGGTAAGGCAGATGAAATAATTAAAAGTTTTACTAGCACCATTTTGTCTTTGGGGAAAATCGAATTTAATTAGCTAAATAAATACATTTGAATATTTTAGTGTTAACAAAATGTTAACTTTGTGAATATTCCTGCTTGGTCCCAGATAACATTTGTATTAATTAAGTATTTTTGTCTTTATATTAATAATGGTTTACAAATTTTGAAAGCCTAGTTTCACACAGCTGTTTTAATATGTAAAGTGATGATTATTTAACCTGTAAATTTGTCTTAAATGTTCTTTGTTTCATACGTTATTTCCTGTATTCATGTAGATATTCAGTTTTATTCTTGCAAGGAAAACATGTGCTCAACAATTTTCAATATGTATTTTGGATTAATTTTCCCTGATGATAATTGACATTTTGTGTAAAATTGTGTTTTCTGTAAAATCATTTTAATTGTGTAAATTTGTTGGTAATTAGATTCTTTAACAGCTGTAGTGAATAAAATAACTTCTTGTTTTTATAAAATAATTTTATGTTTGCTAAAATGTTTTAATTTGACTCTCAAATGATTTTTCCACGGTTTAACAGTGTATATTTGACCTTAAACAAACAGTATAGTATACCTAAATGCATTTCTTTTATCAGTCAAATATACTGGATATTTATCTACACTGTAAAATGCATAAATAGCTCAAGACTGTTTATTAATTAATTAATCTTAATGTTGTCCCTATCTTGAGTATTTTGTTTAATCTGTTTTATTAATATTATACCCAGGTAATTGCTTTATTTTATACATGCCATTATCAACTGCAAATTAATTTGAACTGGAATTAGTGTAAAAGTTAAGGGGCTATGTATGAGTGTATTATGTTCAAGATAATTAACTGTCTACTGTCTTAGGTCTTGTTATCAATCATGATTATTTCTGTATAGCAATTCTTTTAATAATGAACTAGTCACAACTGTGTCTTCCTGGAATAGTTGGATAATTTTCAATCATTTAAATATTAACTAGTTTTCTCAACTGAAATTAGTAATTAACTGACTGTTAGTAGATTATAAATTAATTTTGAATATTTGCGGATTGTTTAACTGTTGTGGTAGGCTATATTGTGTTATCCACAGACCAAGTAGAAACTTTTGCTTAGAGGCCATACTATTTATGATGGAATTTTGTAGGGTTTTATCCCTGGGCCTTCCAGACACTACTTATCACCTGACCTCACTGCATATCTGGGTCCACTACCATACTACCTGGCTACTACTTCACCCTGGTGTCGTGATCTCAGCCAACCTGTACTTAAGGACTGCGGACCTACCGACAAGCCTTCAACCGATAAGTCCCTAGATTGTACATTATCTCACTTTTGGGAATTATAGACTTGTATATATTCTTTGCTATTCAGTGTGGCTCTACAGGACTTGGATTAACTCTGAGAACATTAGTGTGTGATTGAGTCAGTGCTACTGAACCATCGACTCCATCGTCATAATATTATTTTCATGCTTAGTATTCATGTCTGTATATTGTATGTGTGTATATATTTCAGGGTAAATCTGTATTATTATCGTTCTAAGTTCTTTTGGTGGCCGCCAGTTACTGATTTCTGATATTTGGTATTGATATTCATATATATATATTTGTTTAGAATAAAAGAACTATATCACCATAGATTGTAATTGTTTGCGTTACCCACATCAATTTTGAGACAAAGGAATTTAATTGCTATATTTTGCTCAGCTTATCATTAAATTTATCAGATCAGTAAGAGTAATACTATTAATTTGCACTTTATGAATTTCTGATCTTTACATTATAATAAAGTAAACTCATTACCTCATCAATTGCTCAGATTTCTTGATTTATAGTGCACAGTAGCTTAACTTATAAATATTTTCTCCTAGTGATCTTTTGTCTGACTGTTATTTCAATATAAATTTGTTGTTGTTGTGTCATATTTATACAAGGTATTGATGATTGTTGATCTGTACTTGGGTTCAGGCAGGAATTGAGAAATTAAAAAAATAATTAAGTTTTCAAATACCATCTGCCTTACAAGTGAGGTACCACGGATTGGGAGGAACAGGTTCCTTGTTGCTGTTTTTCATAAATGAGTTCCTGAAAACAAGGTGGCGCCCTGAAGTCGGACATTTAAGCCAACCTCCAGTGAAGGTAGATTGGAATTAAGAAATTTTGAATTTTAGCTAGACCATAGTTAAGACCCACCCCCTTCTCCACTGAAATTAGCCAGGAAATTTAAGTAACAGAATTTGGAACGTTACAACCTTTGCCAATTACTCCAGATAATCTAGGTTAAACTATGGTATCCACAATAGCTGCTCCCCATTGAATTTTTATAACTATGGTGAATAATTTTAATGATAACCTCCCTTCACTAACATACAATTTTCATAGAGGCAGTTCTTTCTAAAAAATAAAATGTTAAGACTTACGTGTGGCAATCTTTTCGATGACACTATGGCAAAAGACACAGGAGCAGCCAGAGTCTGGTGGTAGGCTACTAGTCTACTGTTGTCTGTAGGCGGGCTGTACATGAGAGTATGCTGTATCAGGTGAAGGTACACTTGAGAATGGGGTTCAGGTATGCAGCCAGTCAGACAGTCAGGCCACTGAAACATGAAGTATTGCAATGTACAATGGAGAAAAATTGATTAAAACTTTGAAATGCACATTAGTCCAACAATCCTTACTTTTGAACATACCACATTCAGGTGCTAAACGATTTTGTTGAATTTTACCGAAATTCAAGATGTTTAAATTATGGAAACCACTTCATATTTGGTACACAATTTTCAAGTGAACTAAGATAGGACATTTTTACGATTGTATTGCACATACTGCAAGTGTTCTATAGATGTTAAGTGAGATAGCGCCTCAAGGTGAAACCAAGTCGAGCCTTAGCTAAAATCTCAGCGAACGAGCACCAAGTAAAAAAAAAGCTTGAGCCAAACTATTACTACAGCGATAATATCACAAGCGCAGAACACGTCTGCAATTTTGTGATCAAAAATTCACGGTTCTGCCGCAATTGCGGAGGCTGACACTAACCATTTTGGTCCATGCTCGTTTGCTCTTCTTGGTGCCGATTTTAAACTTCTCTTCTTCATCCCAGTTTGGCAGCATGCTCACACAGTTCACTGTCCTCGCATCCTCAGTAAGTGGTAGAAGATTCTCCTGGTCAAGTTCCATTTCGTTGAATAGCTTCTTACATGCCTCCAGGGCGACGGATCGTTTGGCATTTTCTTTGCTGCATTGAAACGTCCCCTACAAAATAATAGGTAGTTCAAACATTTTAAGCATAATCTGAATTAGGTTAGGGTAGGTAAAAAACATGAATTTGTTTCATTATTCGTTTTGTAATTGCGTAATTGCACTTCTGTTGTAATTGCGGTGTTAAAAATATAGGCATTTAATAAATGCATATGTATATTTCTTTGCTATAGGCCTACTGAAGAAGAAAAAATCTGTTTTCAATGGATGCTACTGTGAATGTTATGTAAATTATGGGCCAAAGTAGTCTAGTTCTTTAAATTACTAAGGTAAAAAAGAAGCAGCTAGGGTCAAGGACATCAGTTAGGAATACAAATTCATCCTCTTAATATTTTATAAAAAAAGTTCTATAAAATAATAATTTTTATAATATTTGTTGCTACTACGAATATCCTCATGAATATTTAAAATAATTGGAATCCAAACATATTTCTTCAATTTAAATTTGAATTCCATATTGAATTGGCGGAGTATTACCTGTAGTATCATATTTAAACATCCAAACAGTGGAAAGCTACGATTGTTAATAGCAAAATAACATGGTTAAGAGCTAATGTATAAGACGGTATAGCAAAATTATTTTCATGACATATTCTAAAGAATGATGCAGGACTCACACTCACTTTTCAACCTCAATCTTGCCTTAGTCTTTAAACTTGAGCTACAATCACCACCACATCACAATCAACCTGACTGACATACTATCAATGTAATTTACCTCTATGCAACCTTTCACTTTGCTCTCCATAGGTAAGTGGAGATAGCATTTGTATTGAGTGCCATTACGGCCTGATTCCATTTTCATAAACCAGTACGGTGTTATTTGTGTGAACTTGTCCGTCCTCAGATTCGCAAAGTATCTGGAAATTGAAATTATAATGTGTTAATAACGAGCAAACTAACAAGATCAATCTCAAGAATTGCAGTTTGGGTAACGATGAAGCATAACTGAAAAGCAAAACCTAACTTCAAATCAATATAAAATGGTTTATTTTACCTCTTTGCGTCGAACGATCCGTGTGTAGTTAGTACAACTACAGCTGTTTCATACCACTAGGGTACATCTTCAGGTTGTTGGTAGAACGTTAGATAAAACAGCATTCATTCATAGATGAACTTGTCAAAATAAATATGTCTATATACACAAAATACACAAAAAACATTTAAATAACACGAATTTACGAGCTTGGCCAAGTACGGAACACACGAGACAGGCGCCGATGGATGTTGCGTCATGACTGCAATTTACGATCCAGAGGCTAACCGGCTAACCCATCATGAAATTACAAATCAATATCAAATTAAACTACAATGAAACCGCACTAACTCGACAATTTGTCGACCAAAAAGTTATATAGTTATACAGAACATTGACATTTTTAATAGGTTTTAATAAATAAATACATAAGAGAGTGTGGGTAGGCCATAGAACAAGTAGAAAAACACTGTGCACACAATATATCGTCCCCTAAGGGACTTTGTCAAGTGTAGAGAAAGAGTTTATAAATTACAAAATGGTGGTCAACTATGCAGGGTTGCCACATCTCATTAGTCTATTTACAACTATGTACACAACTTTAAGTAAGCTAGTAGCTTACTTAAAAGTAAGCGTTAAGTAGCTAAACTTTAAGGTAAGCTAGCTGCTATCCTCCTTTTTACTACAATTTAAAATCCTGGCCTAGAGGCTTTCCTTAAACATATACATAAGAGACTAATTTTTACAAATAGATTTACTACAAACATAAGTATTTTTACATATTGAGAAAACAATCTTTGAAGAAATATCAAACATTCAACAATTCAAACTTGAAAAGACAAACACAATAAGACAAAGCCAGTTAAACGTGCACACTGTCAGCTGTTGACTGTCGACTGTCGAGTTACAAGGACTGCGAGTTAATGATGTTTTACTGTAGGCTTGTTGTAAATTGGTACATCATATAATTGATTATCACAATTAAACTTCTAAGCTCTAAAACAAGGCTAAGCTACATCTCCAAACCACCAAATTCTAATAAATGACTAGAAATCGCGATTTGATCTGCTGTATTCAGGAATCGAGTCTGAAGTATCCATTTTAGTTAAACCTGCTGTTCTCCTGCACCTGTGCAAGGCATTTAACATAATGGGAATATAGTATTTATGATTTTATAATTTAAGGGTTATTTTAGAAGGAGTATGCCCAGGGCCCAATATAGGGATTTTTCAGAGTCAAGCGAACACCCGAATAAGCGCCACCTAGGATTCCCCCCCACCCCACCGCCAAGAACATAACTTAACCCTATTTGTGAATTTTTTTCCCAAAAATTTTGGGAAGAACTTTTTTTATGAGTTTAGGTTAGAAGAATGCTTGCAATAAAAGACTTTTATCAACTAGGTACTGTTAATTATTTACAGAAATTTAACATTTTTACACTTTTTTTAACTCATCATATTTATACACTTTAGCAAATCCCAAAATTAACAATTTATTTCTAAATGTAAAATCAAATTTTACTGGATAACTTGGATACGATATAAGTATTTTTTATAAAGCCTATTACAGAAAAACAGGTGTAGGTATAGATGACAAGAGAGGAATTTTTAATTGAATACATTAATCATGTAGAAAACATGAATAACCAAAATGTATTATTACCTTGCCAAAAATAATACAGAATGTTCAATTTGAACAGTTCAAAAGTTCCTACCAGTTAAAAATTTACTCTCCTAGCTTTAATCTTGGCAAATTCTTTAATTGCTGAGTTGGTATCAGCTTAAAACACTCGTAATCATTCACTTATCAACAATCATCAAAACAATACCAATACGATACAGTATACAGCTAAGAGTGCAATACAACGTAACGTACTGCTCTGCTCTAGGAGGGGAGAGTGGTCAGGGGAAGAAGGGAGGGGGATGTTTCTAGTTGTGACAAGTGGCACTGCGCGCTTATCTCGAGCATGAGTCATGAAATGGAACCATAGAGATAGAACCATAAACTCAGGCGCCGCGCTGTACGCTGCTGAGTCTCAGCTCACTACAAATCGAAACTGCAATTCAATGCCTTGAGTCTTTGAGTTGAAGTGCTGTATATTGTACAAGTATACGCATTTTCAAGTGCTGTTGGTACAAACTGAATAAATGCCTTTGGTGTGGTGTTTTGGATACTTGAACTCTGAGCAAAAAAAAATTTAGTTGTTCACTTGTCAGTAAAGTTGTTTCCAATTTAGTCTTCTGAAAAAAAATGTGTCCCGTTGGCGCCACTTTTTTGTGGCACCATATGCGACCGCGTAATTCGCGTATGGGTTAAACCGGCCCTGAGTATGCCTCGCAAAATTATTGCCATTGCAGGAAATTATCACAGTGTCGCTGAAGTTGCAAGATTTGCACACAAAATGGTGTTGTGGTAGCTGGAGATGAGCTTAACTTTGCTGCAATACTGGTTGATGCAAGTTTTTATAACCAAATTAAGTTTTAGAATTGATAAAAATAAAGTAAGCATTGATTGTATAGTATATACTAGTCAATGATACAATTGAGAATTGATTTTCACAGAAGTTTCTATATTGTGTTTCATATAAATCTTGCACTCCTATTTCGGAATTGAGATTGGAAATATTTGGATTTGGTTAGACACGCCCAAAAAAAATGTACATAAACAATTATCACTAATTACATGCCAATTTGAATGTTTTGAGTCAGTAAAAATTTGTTTCATCTTATCTTACTAACGTTATAAATGTGAAATAATATTATAAATGTGAAAGTTTGTGTGTTTGTTTGAAGTTCAATCACACATTAACTACTGGACGGATTGGGCTGAAATTTGGCACGATGATAGTTCACATTTCCAATTAACAAACATAGGCATATTCTTATCGCCTATATTGGTTCTATGTAGTGATGGGCGGATCCAAGAAAATGTCGGTACCGGATCCGGATCCGGATCTTGAAAAATTCGGATCCGGATCTTCGGATCTTCGGATCCGGATCCAGATACACACTGTCATAAGAGCAGTTAAAAAAAAACGTAATTAACAGAATGCAAATTTAAATCATACTTTTATTATTTTTTATCACGTAGCTTCGGGTGAGATTAAAATACTAATGGGATATTTTTGAGACAAAATTATAGGCCGTTAGCTTATCATCCAGGTACAAAACTAAAAACTAGAGGTGTGAAGATATCCGAAAAATCGGGTCGGATTCAGTTCGGAAAGATACATGCCATTGCCATATATGTTATTTATTTGTATCAAGAGACAAACACTGAAACATGGCCTTGCCATATACGTTATTTGCACCAAGAGACAAACACTAAGACATGACCTTGCCATATAAGTTATTTGAATTAAGAGACAAACACTGAGACATGGCCTTGCCATATAAGTTATTTGCATCAAAAGACAAACACTGAGTCATAACCTTGCCATACAAGTTATTTGCATCAAGAGACAAATACTGAGTCATGGCCTTGCCATATAAGTTATTTGCATCAAAAGACAAACACTGAGTCATGGCCCTGCCATATAAGTTATTTGCATCAAAAGACAAACACTGAGACATGGCCTTGCCATATAAGTTATTTGCATCAAGTGACAAACTTTGAGACATGGCCTTGCCATATAAGTTATTTGCATCAAGAGGCAAACACTGAGACATGGCCTTGCCATACAAGTTATTTACATCTAGATACAAACATCGAGACATGGCCTTGCCATATAAGTTATTTGCATCAAAAGACAAACACTGAGTCATGGCCCTGCCATATAAGTTATTTGCATCAAAAGACAAACACTGAGACATGGCCTTGCCATATAAGTTATTTGCATCAAGAGACAAACGCTGAGACATGGCCTTGCCATATAAGTTATTTGCATCAAGAGGCAAACACTGAGACATGGCCTTGCCATACAAGTTATTTGCATCTAGATACAAACATCGAGACATGGCCTTGCCATATAAGTTATTTGCATCAAGAGACAAACACTCGGGGAAAAAACGGTCTTGTACATGGATACAGACAGCTTTGTGTTAGTAAAAAAATCTGGAAAAATCGGGGTTGTATAGTGATACAGACAGATTTGTGTTGGTAAAAAATCGAGGTTGTAGAGTGATACATACAGCTGTATGTTTAGTAATAAAATCGGTGTTGTACAGTGATACAGACAGCTTTGTGTTTAGTAAACAAATCGGGGTTGTACAGTGACAGACAGCTTTGTGCTAGTAAAAATATTCGGGGTTGTAGAGTGATACAGACAGCTTTGTGTTAGTAAAAAAATCGGTGTTGTACAGTGATACAGACAGCTTTTTGTGTTAGTAAAAAATCGGGGTTGTAGAGTGATACAGACAGCTTTGTGCTAGTAAACAAATCGGGGTTGTACAGTGATACAGACAGCTTTGTGTTTAGTAAACAAATCGGGGTTGTACAGTGATACAGACAGCTTTGTGCTAGTAAAAACATTCAGGGTTGTACAGTGATACAGACAGCTTTGTGTTAGTAAACAAATCGGGGTTGTACAGTGATACAGACAGCTTTGTGCTAGTAAAAACATTCAGGGTTGTAGAGTGATACAGACAGCTTTTTGTGTTAGTAAAAAATCGGGGTTGTACAGTGATACAGACAGCTTTGTGTTAGTAAAACAAATCGCGGTTGTACAGTGATACAGACAGCTTTATGTTAGTAAACAAATCGGGGTTGTACAGTGATACAGACAGCTTTGTGTTAGTAATCAAATCGGTGTTGTACAGTGATACAGACAGCTTTGTGTTGGTAAAAAAATCGATGTTGTACACTGATACAGACAGCTTTGTGTTGGTAAAAAATCGGGGTTGTACAGTGATACAGCCAGCTTTTTATGTTAGTAAAAATCGGGGTTGTACAGTGATACAGACAGCTTTGTGTTAATAAAAATCGGTGTTGTACAGTGATACAGACGGCTTTGTGTTTATTAATCAAATCGGTGTTGTACAGTGATACAGACAGCTTTGTGTTGGTAAAAAAATCGGTGTTGTACACTGATACAGACAGCTTTTTGTCTTAGTAAAAAATCGGTGTTGTACACTGATACAGACAGCTTTGTGTTGGAAAAAATCGGGGTTGTACAGTGATACAGACAGCTTGTTGTGTTAGTAAAAAATCGGGGTTGTACAGTGATACAGACAGCTTTATGCTAGTAAAAAAATCGGTGTTGTACACTGATACAGACAGCTTTTTGTCTTAGTAAAAAATCGGTGTTGTAAGATTTACCAACAGGGTGCAGCACTATTATTTTTTTTTTCATTTATGAAAACAGCTAATTTGAACTAAGCAGCAACAAAAAGATGTGATACACAATGAGAACTGTCAAAGTAGGATTGTTTACAGTTGTTTAGGTTTTTAATTTAATGAATAATTTGTGATATTTTGCGAATTATACCGTAAATTTAAAGAAGCAAATTTTATCAATCTGTGTCCTCCCCCATTGAAAACGCAAAGCTTGAGTATAACTGCAATAAGCATTTTATTCCTATATGCCAACCAATATAAAATAGGTGTAGGCTAAGGTTGAGTCCAAGTGTATGCTCATGGTATGTTTTTCCCCCCAATTAAAATTTACCTCAGATGTATAATTTAAAATTAATAAGACAATAAGAATCTTGTTACGGCAAAAAGCTTGTTTAACACAAGACCTACATAAAGTGACTTTTAATTCTTTTTTTTTTAATGTTGTTAATAGCTTAAACTTGCCAAATCCTATTGTAAAGGGTGTCCATCCAAATATGAAAATATCTGTGGATATAAAGGGGTGTTCACTGTACAACTTTGAACCAACCAACAAAAATGAAATTTTAAAAATAATATTTTCTTTGAAAAATAAGACATCGGTGGGTTGGGATGAAGTTCCCATTTCACTCATCAAAGCAGTAGCAAATAAAATTGCTGAACCCCTCTCAGATATAATTAATAAATGTTTTGAATGTGGTATTTTCCCGGAAAAATTGAAATACTCTCATATTACTCCGATATACAAAAAAGGGGCTAGAACCGATATAAATAACTACCGCCCAATATCTGTTTTAAGTAATTTTTCAAAGATATTTGAAAAAGTTATCAATTTCCGGCTAGTAAACTATTTTAACAGCAATGATTTGTTTTATGAAAAACAGTTTGGGTTTAGAAAGACATTCAGCACCAACAGTGCACTGATTGAATTTATCAATGATGTTACAGGGGCTTTGGACAGGTCTGAAACTACTGCTGGTGTTTTCTGTGACCTGTCTAAGGCCTTTGACTGTGTGGATCATTCAATTTTGCTTTCTAAATTAAAAGACTACGGTATAAAGGGTAAAAGTTTTTCTTTATTAGACTCTTATTTACAGAACAGAAAGTATAGAACAATAGTGACCAAAAACGGTGTGAAACATATGTCAAACTGGAATTTATCTAATTATGGTGTACCTCAAGGGTCAATATTGGGCCCTCTGTTTTTCCTGATCTTTATTAATGACCTTCCATAAGCTATTGGCAGAGATTTAATCTTATTTGCTGATGATACAACAGCAATCATAAGAGAGGATTCAGTAAATAACTTAATTGTATCAATAGAAAACACTTTGGATTGTATGAAAAATTGGTTTACAGATAATGGTTTAAAGCTGAATATTGACAAAACTCATATAATTAAATTTTCTTTAAAAAACAATGTAATTCTTGATAAAATTCCAAATTTAGTAGAATCTCATAGATTTTTGGGTGTATTGCTTGATACTCATATTAATTGGAAGATTCACATAGATAAGATGAAAGGCAAACTAAGATCTATTTCTTTTGCTTTCTTTCACCTGATAAACTGTGTACCTCAGGATACATGTATCACAGTTTACTATGGATACGTTGAATCCATCTTGAGGTATGGAATCATACTGTGGGGAGTGTCAACAGAAGTCAAATCCCTACTAATTTTACAGAAAAAAATTATTAGAATCTTAACCAAATCAAGAAGGAGAAAATCATGTAAAAACCTGTTTAAAAATCTTAGAATTCACACCATTTTTGGATTATACATAAATGAAATTCTAAATTGGATACATAACACTTAGGAAAATTTGTCAGATGCAGTCAAATTTACACATAATTATAATACAAGGAATAAATATAATTTCAGATTACCACATCACAAATTGACGACTTTTAGGAACAGCCCTCAATATATGGGACTTAGATTGTACAATGAATTACCCCTGTATCTTAAAAATTTAAATGCTACTCATTTCAAAGATAAAATAAAAGATAAAATAATTGAGAAAGCCTACTATTCACTTGACGAATTTTTGGAGAACCCTATAATGTAGATAAAAATTCTCTGATATCCTACATGAGTTTATTTTAATTATTTTAACTATTAATTTTACTATATAATACATCACTATGACGAAACACCTGTTCTTATGTATGAAATGTACTTTATAAAGAACGTATTGTGTAAATAAAATATGTCTTATGTCTTAAAGCGGTCCAAATCTTACCGGTTCACATGTGAAATGGCCGACAGAGCTGTGATGGTCGGGCCATTTGGTCCGAGTGGCGCAAAGGTTTCAAGACCTTTTATATTGCTGAACAGAGTCGCATCAATTTCGTCTTTGTCAGGCTCATCCCTCAACAAATACTGTCCCCCACAGAGCAACTGGAAATATAATGAGGTAAATTAACCCAACATCATTCAAGTAATATATAATTTAACCAACTTAAAACTTTCTGAGAGGGTGAGCGCATGAATTAATGCTGCCCAGCATACTGCCTCTGCTTAAACTATTGCAAAATATCTTAAGCTCAAAAAGCGCTCAACAAAGATTAACAAAATACTTTCTACTAAGATCGTAAATTCCACAACAACTGTAACAATAACTACAACATTAAGTATTTGGTACTCTTGGCAAAGAGCTGTATGCCAGAATAAGTTTGATTTGGTTTTTAGGGTTGCAGAATTACTTGTACAGAGGGCGAGTCTTCTAAATCAGTAACACATAAAAATGTGAATATTTCATGGTCACTGAACACTTTGTCAATCAGAAAAAAAGGGAAGATTAAAATCAATGTACTGTATATAGGTAAGCCTGTTCTTACCCAAAACAAAAACTAACCTTTGTCAGGTATTAGTTATATATAATCTTACTCACTCTGCGTAACTCTGCTTCGACCTTTTGAAATGTTGAATGTTTCTCATCAAACTTTGGGTCGTTAGTCATGATGATGTATCGGCTGGTAGAATGTCGTGCTCGTCCCTTGCTCTGCACATACGACCGGAAGTCCATCGGGGGATCAAACATTATCACGGTGTTGCAGCTGGAGACATCCATACCCTCTTCTACCACGTTGCTGCCGACTATGACATTCAAAAGTCCTGAGTTGAACCTGAAAAGATGATTTTCCAATATCATATAAACCGGTAATTTTACATTGTCAGACGGCTTGGAGCAAGGAGATACTACCCACTTAGGGCTAAAAATAAACCTGGGTATTTCAACGAATCTATTACGTTGTCGCTTATCAAAATGGACATAATACATTTTAAAACCAGGCAGATTCAATTTAGATTGAGCTAGAAAAAGTTTAAGGGTTCCCTGTTCAGGAATAGGGATGGGAGTAAATAAATTATCACAATTGAGCTCTCAAACTATTTTTCACTAACCAAAAAATTGTTAAATAGCACCCAAATTGTATGAGTGTATTATTGCATACTTAGCTGTCATATACATTGGGCAATTTTATAATTTTATAACAATACTGGAAAGCTCCTTTTATTGAAGGCCAAATGACAAACAAAATTTGTAATCCATATCCTGGTCTTGTTACTATCTAACGTAACAATACTGGAAAGCTCCATTTATTGAAGGCCAAATGACAAATAAAATTTGTAATTCGTATCCTGGTCTTGTTACTATCTAACGTAACAATACTGGAAAGCTCCATTTCTTATCCTGGTCTTGTTACTATCTAACGTAACAATACTGGAAAGCTCCATTTATTGAAGGCCAAATGACAAATAACATTTGTAATTCTTATTCTGGTCTTGTTACTATCCAATGTAACAATACTGGAAAGCTTCATTTATTGAAGGTCAAATGACAAATACATTTTAGAAATGAAATATAATAAGGTCTAGTACAAAAAACAAAAGCCAAAATAATCTTTAAATAAAAACATAATACCTGTTTTCTGACTTACTTGTCAAGAACTCTGTCGTTGTAGGTCTTTTGTACTAGATTTTCTTTTGTGTCTTTGAAAGGATTTGAAACAGCATACCCGACGACAAAGTCAGATTGTATGTGGCTTAGTTTTGGGTTTGCTTTAGCGGCATTCTGAAAAAAAATTATTAAATTAAATTAAATAGAAGAAATTGAAATGAGTAATACTCTTAAATATATTAATATTTAATGATGTTAAACATTTTCAACATTTATCATAATGACATGAATTTAGAATTAAGTTATTTTTGAATTTATTTACACTACTTTCGTTTCTAATACTGCTGGGGAGGGAATGCATGAATTTGATTCCAATATAATTAGGACTTTCCTTAAATTTGTCTTTTTTATGTTTTTTAGTTATGAAGTTTAGTTTGTTTCTAGTGTTATAATTATGTACGTCTTTCTGTCTTTGAAGTTCTGATTCATGATTTTTAACATACATTATCGTCTTATAAATATAGAGACTGAAAACAGTAAAGAACTCTAATTCTTTAAAATGATTTTTACAGGATTCGTTTATATCGAGATTAAGGATACACCTAATGGCTTCTTTTTGTAAATGTAAAATTTTGTTTGAATTGAATTTACTTGTTCCTCCATAAATTTCTATACCGTAAGAAATATGTGAGTGAATAGTAGCAAAGTAAACGTTTCTTAAGATATATAATCTGACTGTTGCATAATGGATATAAGCGTCTAATAGCAAAAATACTTGAGCTGATTTTATTACATAAGTTGTCAACATGTGAGGTCCAATTAAGTGTGCTATTTAAGGTGAGGCCTAAAAATTTAGTTTCATAAACAAAATTATTAAACAGCTCTTTTCTAGATTTTTTAGATTCAAACTCAATGAACGTTGTTTTATTTTCATTTAGTAAAAGATTTTTTTCATTCAAGTAATCTTTAATTATTGTGAGTGAATCATGAGTTTTATTTTTAAGAAGCTCCATATTCTTATCATAAATCGACATACTTATGTCATCTGCATACAAGCACAGAGTATTATTTTCTACATGTTCCAATAAATGTTTTGGCATCCCTCCCAAGTAGCACAAGAACAAGAATGGGCCCAACACTGATCCTTGTGGCACTGAGTATTTTACTGTCCTAACCTCAGATTTAATATGGTACATTTTATTCCTACTTAAATGAACAATGTTAACAAACTGTTGGCGTCCCTCCAGATAAGATTCAATCCAGCTTAACTCTTTGCCACCAATTCCATACATTTTAAGTTTATTTAGTAACTTTAAATGGTGCACGCTGTCAAATGCCTTGGACACATCCAAAAAGGCACCAATTACTTTGTTGTCATCATCCAACTTTTCTAACACATTTTCAATATAAGATATAAGTGCTGTAGTGGTGGATTTGTTTTTTCTATAACCATGCTGCTCTTTATCTAATAAGTTATTAATTTCAAAACAATCCACTAGCTGAAAAAGAAAGCATTTTTCAAATAATTTTGAAAGAGCTGGTTGAATTGCCAGTGGTCGATAGTTATTTGGATCTTTTTTGTCTCCTTTTTTGTATACCGGGATAATTATTGAAATTGTCAGCTTATCAGGATAAACACCTGTTATAAGTGAAGTATTAATGACGTGTAAAAGTGGCTTTAATAAAACAGATTTAGATTCTTTTATTATTCTAATCGGAATTTCATCATAACCTGATGACCATTTAGGTTTTATTTGGTCTATTATGGATATTAAAATTGGTTCATCAATTGTTTTGCACTTAAACTTAGTGTTTGAAGCAAAATTTTTAGAACTAGTTTGCGTTTTATTCAGGAACTACTTTACGGAACTACTTTCTCAATGTGCGGAGCATAAAGAAGGGCGGAGTGATACGGACCGGTGACTACTTTCTTGGGAACCTATGAACCTATTTGTGTTGCCAGCTGATTAGAAACAGCCAATGTTAGAAATCAGGATTTAATAAGCGATATATCGAACCGCATCGAAATCGATATTTAATCCGATAATACCTCACAGGTTAGGCCTATATTATGTTGAATTACATCGACGGTACAGTAAGTTATTACACTTATTAATAAAACGCAGATTGAACACTGATCTAATTTAGGCATGTGGAGAAGGTAGGTGGGGGTTTATGAATATTCGTGACTACATTAAGTGATTTGAAGTAAGGTTAGATTAGGAAGGTAGGTTATAAATGTAGGTTATAGGTAGGTGATCGGGTTGTTTATTTGTGTTGCACCATATCATTTTTATCTTTTGGAATAGTTGGTTAAACGGGGAAACGATTTCAAAAATGCTTGCATATGGTCTTAACAAACCATCTACAGTATCCTAGCATTGACTTTATATAAAGTCAATGGTTCTAGCAAATTACTACATAAAAACCAAAAGAAAAGAACATTTGGATTTGGACCTTTGACGATGACAAAACTAACATATAATTTATGAAATGTGAAAAGTTGTACATCATTAAATACTACTAGAGGTCGTCCAGTGGTCGAAACTCGACCAAAAATATTTAATGTACAGACTTCTTTCTTTTCATTCCACACTTTGAATAGAACATGTGATTGGAGTTTCTTCCATTTGTTTTGATTTTCTGTTTATATTTCGTTGTTATTTCGTCACCAGCATGGCAACTCATAATATCCATGTCAAATTTTTCAAAATTTTAACTTCATTTTTTGTGCTTATTTTTGAGCCTATTTTAATTTATAAAGGGATTCTGCACACCTACAGGAAAATAGCTTTCTAACAGTATGCGTAGATTTTCCCTACGATGCACACGAGCTGAGAAAAAAGGTTTTAAAGAAACATGCTTGCCTATTAATATATAGATAGATTCTGTAATATTAATAATTGTTCGGCAAATCCTCATTTTAATGGCTCGGCTGAAATGGAATCTGCATTTTGAGAAACAGTAATTTGGTAACAATTCAGTAATTTCAAATGTTGATAACAGTAGCCTATCCTATATAAATACTGTTATTTGATTGCCAAGCCTTGGACTATACATACGTCCAGTTACAACCGTAATAATAAGTAAATAATTAATTACCTGGGCTTATAGAAGTACACTTTTAATCACGGTATGGATAATTGTCTAGGCCTGTCCAGAAGTAGACTACTAATTTCTAATTATATTATCTACATTGTATATTTAAGACATGTCTTCCCTTCTTATTATTATTCTGTTTTCACTTAAATCAGCTGAATGCGATGTTTACTTATTACTTATGTTTAGGCCCAAATTTCAGCCATCTTATTTTATTGTTCAATAAGCCATAGTCTTTTTGCAGTTTTTACACATTGAAATTCATGATTGATAATTCAGTTAATTTTAGTCTTTTAAAGGTGTTTTACATTTGAGTCTTACACCCCCATGTTAAATTTGTAGCCAGCTTTTTCATCAAAATCTTCTGTATCCAATGGCCAATGGTTTTATTAAGGCCAGTATTAAAATGCCGTCTCTAAATCGTCCTAATAATGGTAGAAGACCTACATTCCAGTTACATTACAATCATATCCTCCATCAAGAATACTTGGTGTTTGATACTCTTTGCCATATTATCATATTGCTTGTTTCCTCTATTACATTTGTATTTGGAATGATTTAATTATCATCTGTTATATTCATTGTTTTTTTCAAAAATATACACAACTAGCTGAGTACCTTCGTACGGGGTTGGTATACAATGCTTATTGTAGTTAAATACTTTGCATTTGCAATGAGAGAGGACACGTTTTGAGAAAATTCGGTTTACTATAATCTACGGTATACTTATACTATAGTATATAAAACATCTACCATAGCCATATGTTCTAACACTTCACCTAAACATTAGAAAGAAGTAAAGTTCTCACACTCAGGTTTTTGTTGCTGCTTGGTTCAAATTAGCTGTTGTCATAAATGTATAAAGAACTAATGGTGCTGCACCCTGTTGGTAAACCTATTGAATATCATAGAAACAACTTGTGTAGTTGAAACAGCTGGCAAAAATATTTAATTCCTTTTTAATATGAATACTCATAAGGTTAACATGGGAAAATCTAGAGCCGCTGGGGCGGAGCCCGAAAGGATTTTTGAGGTAAGAATATGTCTATATGTTAATCGGGAATGTGAGCTATCATCATACCAAATTTCAACACAATCCGACCAGTAGTTAATGTGTGATTGAACTTCAAACAAACAAACAAATAAACAAACACACAAACTTTCACATTTATAATATTAGTATGATTACAGTCCACTTAAAGCTCTTTAGTTATTTTATATTATAAGTTTATTTTCAACGCAACACAGTTACCCAACACTTGGTATTAACAATCATAAATTATTTCTAGCAAAGAAAGCTGAGTTTAACCGATTGCAAGGGTTGAAATGAAGACCAATGTTTATGTTGCACAGTTTAATTTAAATGTCAAATTCCCCCCCCCCCCCTGTTGTTATACTTTAATACTCGTTTTTTTAATAGTTACTGTTTTTTGATACTTTAATACTTTAACCGATTGTAAGGGTCAAAAATTAAGTCAAATGTATTTGTTGTAGGCTACAGTTGAATTTGAATGTTAAACTTCCTTTCTCTTTTAAATTCCCTTTTTGGATGTTAATATCAGATTCCAAATACTGTAATATTTTCCTGGTCAAAACTACCATATTGGAAGAGGTATCTGAATAACAAGATGTAGTAAAAACAAATTTCAAATTTGAATTGTTATAATTTTAATCAATAAAACAAGTATTAGTACATCTATCGACTTTTTTACATTTAGTTACTTATACAAATATCAAATCACGTTTGTTCCGCTCAACTGGCTTTCACCTCTCTGAAAGCAACCCTAGTTTTATTACATATTCCAGTTGAATTTGAATACCCCTAAATAAATTTGGAATAAGAAGATGAAATATAAAACTTGAACTTACACTGAGCAGTTTGTGCAATATTTTTGCCGTGAATCGTCTTTTGACAAATATGATTACTGAGTCATCCTTTTTCAATTTCTCTAAAATTTGGAACAAATTTAGGACTTTTGGGGAAGAATACCGATTTATAAGTTCCAATTCACTCCTTTTACCCATCTCATTCTCAAGTATCTTCCTGCAAACAAACGAACATTTGTGACATTAGTTGAATGAACAAATAAAATTAAAAATAGTATAACATAAGTAACATTAGTACTGAAAGTAAAAAAAAAAAAAATGTTTTATAAAAAGTTCCCTATGAGTATAGTAAAGATTAGACATGTTAAAATTGTGAGAACAATTGAAATCCTGTTCTAACAACAAAGAAAGTCTAATCATACATTCAAACAAGTAATAAATTAAGACAATAGTAAAAAACTATTAAGACAAATTCAAGATTAAAATGTCAAACTAAACTACACAGATCAGCTGTTTCCCAGTTAATGATATAATTTTTAGTACAATATTACACATACTGTAGAACTAAAGAATAGAACAAGTCAGTCCTTTCAAGCTACCACAATAAATATCAGTTACTATCACGATTGACAAAAGAATACTGTATAAGTAATCAAAGGCATCGCCAGAGAAGTAGACACACTTTTACATGTTTTCAAGATATTTTTGAGTTTAAATTTATCAACTGCCTAGAAGACTCCCAAAGACACCACACAAGCTGGCAAAATGTACATAGAACCAGTCGACAAAAAAAGGTAATTAATATAATTCAAGTTGAAACTGGGATGATAAAAACAAATGTAAATTTATTTTGTATTTGGGCAACAGAACAAATAAAAGCATTGAACTTTTTTAAGCATCGACAATAAATATTTTTACAAGAATATAAATAGCCTAGTTAATGGTCATAAAACTAGGTCTACATAAAATATAAGCTAAAAAACTAAAACACAATTTTCCTCTCCTCTAAAAATCCAAGAGGGAATAAAAGCAATTTTTTAAAGCCAATTATAGAATTGTTTTAAAAACATCGAGTGAGTTGGATATAATTGAAAAATTTTACTGAGTCTGTTGTAAAACTTTCTGTGACATTAATATGTGGATTTTTAGACTCAAATTTAATTATACAGCTATATTTTTGAAAAGAAGCATCATGAATGAAAAATATAGCTTATCAGCCAACAAAACCACTATTTTTGCTATGCCAGATTTTTTCATAACAAAATAAACATACAAAACAAGTTTGGATATACTTAAGGTCAAAATCTGGGAATGTTACAAAATTTTTGGGAAATTAATCAGGTGTTAAGTTAAGACAGCTGATACAGCCCAGGAGGTCATACAAGAAATCTCACCCTTATTTCATGAGACACTGGTTATAGTTTGTCCAATGTTAAATTTAAATTTCTAAACAATAAGTTAATCAGCATGTAAGAGAAAAATATGTAAAGAACCTACTGGAAAAAAATCAGGTTAGTGAAGATAGCGTTGAACACAGTCCTCAACACTTCCGATTCGCAGTCGTGAATGATCTTTTGCATCTGGATAAGACGAGCGAGTACAGCAACGTAGCCTCCATACGTTCCCAATTGATCCATGTTGACCTGTTATAAAAAAAGTTTATCCGTGGGTTTTTAAGCCAGTGACTGCAGTGAGAATCTAATAATGTTCGGTTGCCATACCTGCAGTATCAAAGAGAAAACAGTTGACTCTAACCCGAAAAGAGAGTCGGATTAACAAAGTCAAACGTACTAAATTTAACCTACAAAGCTTAGAAAATTAACTTATCAAGTATTATTAAGCCCTCCTCGATTGGGGTGTTCAAATTCAGTTTAGGAATTATTTAACAAACAAAGCAATTAAATAAAAATACCAATTTGATTTTACATATTAACTGACACATGTAGCTTAAATCTTGTAGGCCAAAATATTGTTAAATAGTTAGTTTGAAATTAAATCAGGCCTAACTGCAAAGGGTAGGCTGCTGAAAAATTCAGATTTGAAACCTTTGAGTTAAATTTTTGGATAGTAAATCGAAACGCAGTAATGTACTTGTTCTGCTAGGTAGGCTTAATCACAACTGTTTACTGTAAGGATTGCAGAATCGGACTGGAAAGATGCGAGTTTCCTGTCACACATGAATCAAATTGCAGTATTGTACACATAGTGGCCGAGTCATACATACTTAGACTACAGAGTGTGTAGGACGATCAACTATCGGATCATCAAGTCAACTATAACACGTACGTAAAAAGTAGATTAAAAGACCTCAAGTTGTTTTACTGACAAAATAAGGCAATCTGGACAGTGAAAATGTGTCTATATTCTAGTTAGATGGGGGGAAACAATTTATTCACTAATTTTATCTACCACTCTAATATAAGGTCAAAGCGAGACCAAGGTGGAAAAGCCACACCCTGTCAAAACAGACATTACACAATTCATAGCGGAGCTTGCACACACACCAACACCGTGACCTTGTATTCTGAGACTATGCTAATATAGTATACAAACTTATTGTTAAAAATATTAACCCTCCGAGTGTCCCTTGTTTTGGCCTTAATGTCTGCCTATTTTTAGCTCATTTGCAAGGTTTTATTAAAACGGATCTGAGAAGCTTAAAAACAATGTTAATTATACTGTTTTATATACCATTTTGTTTGGAAAATCATGGGCTTCAATATTATATATAAAACATAAGGAACATTTGTTTAAAAAAAAATTTTTAGGTAAAAAAAAATATTTTGGAAAATTAAAAAAAAAAAAAAAGTTTGCGCTCAATGAAATTGTATAAATTATAGGCCTATAAATATTTGAAAATAGCCACTTTGTTCTAAACTTTATGAGGATTACAAATATATAATCATATAGTGAGGTAAGTTATCAAATAAATAAGTTATGAGTGAAAAACAGATTTCAGTACATTGCGTTTAGCTAAGAATGCATAGCATAACCATAGCTAGGAATCTGGCTGATAATTTACATCAATATCACTACCTACTTCTTCAGGATCATCAACCAGCCCTTCAAAATCACTTAAATCTTCTTATAATGCACCACGTATTTCACTACTTTTGATTTTTAACACTAAAACAATGATAAACGTAATAAAACACATCAGTCATCGGTCCGAGGATAACCAAGCTGTTTACGAATACGCACGTCAGCTGTCTGCTACAATTACGATCGGCTCGGAGAACATACAGCGCTGAGACAGACCTCTGGAGAAAGCTTATAATTTAACGAAAAGAACGATACCTAACTCGATCCAGTTCAATCCGATTCAGTCAGTCATAGAGCCTTTTTGTAAACAGTGTTCGTGAGTCGCTGCAGCGACGCATGGCACTCGGAGGGTTAAAGACAGACAAGACAAAAATAAATAGGACTTGACAAAAGATGTGTATTTATTTGGACACTGTTTACAAAAATCATAATAATAAAATAAAACATATGTTAATTCAAAGAAGGTAGTTTTAACATAAGAAAGAAGGCAGGCATAGATTATTACACTTATTTTAAGTACTGTGCATGCAATTACAGAGGAAATATTAAATATCAAATAGATTTTCAATTTTAATTTTTTTTATCCCGAATAAACCTATATTTAAAGAAGCAAACATATTATAAACTTGGATCTAGAATGTGGTAAAACTAAATCTTATAAATAGCTCAACAATCAGAACCACAAAAAATTTAAATTGCACAATTTGTCAATTTGCATGTAAATAAATATAAAATCGTATCAGATTAAAAACTTACTACAATATCCAGCAGCACATTTCTCAGCTCTTTGTTCGTCTTCTTTGCCTTGTCAAACACCTGGATAGTGCCTATCGGCTGAACGACTTTGTTCGCTGTATCGACATCACTCAATTTACACGAGTTAATAAAATGTGTCCATTTTTCAAATAGATTATTTCTTTTAATATACACTCTTCCTCGAGTGTCGTTATCTAAGTAAGTACTCTTGTACTCCCGAGGACTCGTCGAGAACCTGCAATGGCGACAAATTTAAATAACAATAAATACTATAGTTCTGTGGAAGTGGCAATTTAAGATTTGGGCGGATTAGGGTTGTTGAATACTAACAAAACATAATTTGAATTTGGTTCAGATAATATTCAGGTTGAACTTAAATTAAGAGTAGGCTATTACAGTTTTGATTATTGTTTTTGGATTACTTGTCCTTTTGAACAAACTACAAGTGGTCTGACGACACTCCAATCTTTTGTACCTTATGCATTATTAGATGTGATGAGTAAATAAAGAATTTGAATTTGAACTATATTTACTTTAAAAAGGCAAAAGAACTGGATTGTTGTAACAATCTAAAACTTTGACCTGTTTTATCTTTTCAAAATAAAATTAGGATTACAGTTTCATATTGAATTATGATTTTTACAGTTATACAAAACTAGAAAATAATTTTGTTTCATATCCTTCAGATCATCACCCAATGATACATTGGAAAGCCATGTATTTGGTTGTGTTGGTAATGGTAAAATAAAGGAATTTTGAATCTTTGATCTTAACAAGTCAAGTCTTGAATCTGTGATTTAAACTTTTAACAAATACAATATATAGAACCTACAGTGGCATTAAATAATATTTATTTATTTTAGTTTAAATTAATTACAAAACTAATTATTTCCACAACTATTTACGTCAAGGCAACATGGTTATCATGTCCTGCGATAAGGATTTGCTTGCTTGACGATTACATGAAGGGAAACCATCAGAGCACCAAGTTGAATTTGATCCTTGTGCTTTCAATAAGTAGTGCTGGCTAGAGTAATGTAACAACTGATCTTAGTTGCTAAAAACAGTAAAAACACCAAAGAGATCCTTTACCTTTTACCTTCCGTAGTGAACTTTTACCAGAGAAAACTGGATTGTTCATGTCGATAAAAATTAAAACATCACTTCATACATAAAATTGAATATGAAAACATTATTTAAGTACTATCTAAGTTCATCTAAGTTGTTCACGAGAACTAAATTTATTGATAGCTCACATTTTAACCAGCTCTTCATTGTCAGCTGTAGCTATTTGGCTTAAGAAGGTCGTCTCCAGAGTTTTGATTTCTTGTTTCACCAAGTTTACACTCAGGTTCTTGTTTATCAAAGTGGCTGTAAGCCCCAGCACACGGGGCTGATCGTTGACAGGCACGTCTTTAAACCGTTGCATGATCTGAAATAATGGTATAAATTTATCAACTAACCTTACTGAATTTTTCCCATAGCCCTGATGCACAATTTAATCTCATAGCTCCAAAAGTCTACTATGTTCTATAGTTCCAAATACGTTCAGACATTTTGGCAGACTAATAAATTCTTTCGGACTACAGATAATTTTTTTTAAATTTATTCGCTTGGGAATTTAAACGTTTAAAACTCTATAGTTAATGTGATTTGTCCTAGAGCTCCAATGAATGACTGCTGCTTCTCAAGCGTCACCTATAAATGGCTGGACCACGACACTAAAACCTACGGGGACAGTGTAGGAGTCAAAACATCCACTGTCGCCTGCATAGATATGTGCCAAACAGTAACATAGTGGAACAGTTGCAGCCAATTCCATGGATGCCGCAGAACCCGTTCCAAACACAGTTTCATGTGCTGCTATTATTCTGGTGAGCAGAGTTAACAATTGTAGCAGAGTTGTAATTGGAAAAATCACTGTAGGGCATGGCGGTGTTTGTGCCACAACACACAATTTACAGGGTTTGATGGAGACGAGTTGTCAGACATATCTAATCATAATCACCAATACTACGTACTCACCTGTCTCATCGGGTGATCTACTACAGCGTGATGGCATTCGTCAAACACCAAGACAGCAACGTCTTTCAACGTTATTAAACTCCCCAGCAACAGATTCAGAAAAATTTGAGCTGTCATGACGAGAATCTAAAAAAAAAACCTAAAATTACAAACACTACTGTAAACATAATTTCTCACTTTAATTTTTAAATACATTGGATTTGTTACGATGCAAATAAAATTGACTTAAATGGCCTATATATTTATCATTTATTGAATTAAAACTTGGTATAAAACAGCTATTTATAGAATCTAAAATTGTTTTGAGACACATGCTTTGGGCCCCAAAGCTGAACTACAGACAGGCAACAGTGCAAAATTGTCAAAAAGACGGTGAGGGCTGCAGAGAGTCCAGACTGCTCGACTGGTTGTTTTTAATAACTTTTTTTTATTATTTGTTTTTACAGAAAAAGTAAGTGCCAAATGACACTTTCTCAAACTTAACCTGAACAAGTTTCTGCAGAAAACTACATAACAAGGTGGTAAAATTGTTTTTTGCAGAAAATATTTCTGTAGAAAGTCAAACACTTTATTTTCTAATGAAAAATTCTCCATTCCGAAAACAGTAATGCTACAAAACATTATGCATTACAATTAAACAAAATATGCGACATCAACATTTGGAACATCGATCGTTTAATGTTTTACTTACCAAAGCGATTCAATGTAGGCTAATAACAGTAGGTAGGCGTATTCGAACCGATACAAGCATTTAAAAACTTTTTTATTTCAAAAAATTCATTCAAACTATCACACACACACAGTTCATTTACACGCAGCTTGGCCCAAGTAAGCCCACTAAAAATTTTTCCAAGTCCGTTGCAGAAAGTACAAAAACGTTCTGCTATGGGTTCTTGAGTTTATTTGACATTGAAATTCGTATTTTGGCCCCTGGACTATTTTGTTAAGACAAAAATAGGTTTTAATTACCTCTACATTAATACATTGGTTTGAATTGGTTTTGTGAACAGAGATGCCTCTGTCATATGTAAAACCTAATTTTGCCTTTAGGACTTCTAAATAAGAGAAAAAAGTAACCTTAGCCAAAATCTTAGACCTACTCAAGAATATAATTTCGTTGATTTTTATTAGAACTGTAGCCGAATAAATTTAAAGTTGGGTTATTAGTTAGTATTTTGTTTACTTCACAATGATACATGGATCATACTAGGGAATTAATTCGATCGGCCACCGGATGAATATATCTATAATTTATACATATTTTGGTAATAACTAGAGCTAAGCTATGTGCCGATTTTAAATGCAAGGATTTAAAATGCGCGCCAGGCAATGGACAAGTCAGTCCAACATGACGCAACGCGGATGAATACGATCAGGGAACGACTCCACTTTGTGCCGTCTTCTCGTCACTCGGAGTTGCGCCATTGATGAAAGAGGTCGCCATGTCACCGGTGTGGGGTAATTTTATTAATATCTTAATTCGTGGCTAGGAAATTCGCGTTCGGGCGAAAATTGTACATGCATCAAATGATCGCAATTGTCAAAATTTCACCCAATTGCAATTGGGGGTGTGTTTTATTAGTATTAAGTGAGACAGTTGAGATGCCGGATTGATTGTTCGCGTTCGTGATGAAAATTAGTACATGTCAGTTTCTAACGAATCGTAGATCATCGTGACGGTATTTTCAATTGTATCAATAAACGCCAGCTCGAAAAACAAGAATTAATAAGCTTTACACCGGAAAAAAACGTGTCGTGAAATTTCACTCGGTCAGACAAACAGCTACGAGTCAGTTTTTAAATGTTCCGTCCGTGTGAATCTTCGTCAGTGTGAATGTAAATGTGTCGACATGTGTACGTAAGTAAATGTTCTGTGTTATTTGTGTTTTAGAATTCATATAGTTATGCCAATCTGCCATTTTTTCACATGTGTATTCAATTTTTACCAGTTAGAAATCATGTCTCAGTTGGTCCGAATATTTCATGTTTCATTTGGCATGTCGACGCACATGGTCACAAATTCAGTAAAAAAAATGTTTCATTAGATTTTGTCATGTTATACAAAGAATTTAGGTTTCAATAGTAATTCTAGTCAATGGAAAATTATTTATTAAATTGAATTGAAATAGCCTGTTAATTTTAAGAGGAATGATTATCTGTGATATATTATTATTTTGTGTTCTACGTAAAGGTCAAATTCTATCATCGTCAGTATTACTATTTATAACATTTTGTATTTCATATATTGTAACAATTTTGAACTGAGTATCACATTTTTAAATCAGAGAGCATTTGATTGTGTAACAAATTCAGTCATCAAATCACGACATTGTCTCGGTTGAAGGGTAGTGTTGCAGTAAAGGCTATGAGGATAGGCTTCCATTAACGCCATAAACATCATTTTATTATTAACATTAACATAAATTAAATAATCGACTCAGTAGTCAATTAGGCCCAGTTTGCCATTGAGCAATAAGGTGCGAGTCATTCACAGATCCACTAATAATCCCTCTTGCATCGATAAATCAGCTGGCCAGTTCTTGATAAAATATTATTTGGGAAGCCTGGTAGCCAAAAAATAAATTAAATAAAGTAACCTAGGTTCCCGAGATTCTGCATCAAAATCATCGAAAGCAAAAAATCACAATCAATTCTCTCCCTTGTTGGTTTTGGAAGTATTAATAAGAATAAATATCCATTTCTGTATTGCTGTGTAACTGAGTATTAATATTTTGAATCTGTTCAATATGTGAAGGTTATTTTTCAATGATTCTATTAATTTTCCTGTGTTCGTCACATATCAAGGTAATCGGCTTAGCCAAAGATTGCAATAGAATACAAAGCATCAATAATCATTACATGAACTAATGCATCTTGATTTAAATCAGTGTATGAAATATTGGTATTTACAGCTATCATACTGCAGAATCAATACAATAAATAACAGAATTTCAACAAAGACAGCATTTTGCATTCAGAGTATTGGTTTACATTATATTATACTAGCAGAGTACCCGTCCTTCGTACAGGGTTGGAATATAAGTATAAAATGCTTATTGCAGTTATACTCAAGCTTTGCGTTTGCAATAAGGGAGGACACAGTTTGATAAAAATTGCTTTTTTAAATTTACAGTATTCTATAGTATTACACATCTACCATAGGGTATTTACTCAGGGGAGGTATAGAAGAGGCTACGATGACAGCTGTGGGCTTCTTATTAGCTGAGGGAACGCCATGACCGTAACAAAACGGTCGGTAGCCATCGGCCTCGGTGGTCTAATGGTTAGCGTGCCGGGCTGATATACTGTAGGTCCCGGGTTCGAATCCTGCTGGTAGCATTAACTTTTTGTCCAAGATTTTTTTATTATCAGCAAGTTTGGTTGGTTTGGTTAGGTTATTACAGTTTAATTTTATTATTAAGCCATTATAAAATTTTAATTGAGCAAATTCTAGTTTTATTTAATAAACAGAATTATTTTTCCGATTACTAAACTTTTGTTATATTATTTCTTTATCAGCAAGTTTGGTTAGTTCGGTTAGGTTATGATAGTTTAATTTTATAATTAAAAAATAATAAAATTGAATTTGAGATATTTATAATTTTATTTTATGAACAGAACTATTTTCGCGATTAGTAAACCTTCATTGCCAAAGTGCTCTCTACTACAGCGCTGTTCACGGAGGAATTTTGAACTAAATGCCTCATTCGTACCTCCCCTAAGTCAGACCCCTACCATAGCCATGTTCAACCACTTCACCTAAACAATAGAAAAAAATAAATTATCAACAATTCGCAAAATATCACAAATTATTCATGAAATGAAAAACAAACATAACTGTAAACAATCCTACTTTGACAGTTCTCATTGCGAATCACAGTTTTTTGTTGCTGCTTAGTTTAAATTAGCTGTTTTCGTTTTCATAAATGCAAAAAAAATATAGTGATGCACCCTGTTGGTAAATCTTATAACTTTTTAATGCTTTTCCATATCATAGGACCAACTTTTTTAGTTGAAACAGCTGACTAAATTCTTTAATTGCCCTTTAAATATGAATACTCATAAGGTTATCATGGGGAATTACAGAGCCACTGGGGCGGAGCCCGAAAGGATTTTTGAGATAAGAATATGCCTATATGTTAATCGGGAATGTAAGCTATCATCATGCCAAATTTCAGCCCACACCCCACCAGGGGGCAACTTTTTGGTTTACTCACACCTCTATGGAATAGCGAAATTATCTATAAGTATAAAAGAGGATGTTTGTATATATATTTGGCAGTGATAAACTCAGACACCGCTGAACCGATTGCCACGAAACTTGGTACATACGTGTAGAATTTTATGGAATAGGTTTATACATCATCAATTTCGTGATCCGTCCAATCGGCTCTGCCCCAGTGGCTCTGGAGTTTCCCATGTTAACCTTAAGAGAAATGGAATTAATGAATCTTAACAGCTGTTTTAATTAAACAAGTTGGTTCTGTTCTATGATGTTCAATAGCATTAAAGTTACAAGGATTACCAACAGGGTGCAGCACCATTATTTCTTTTACATTTATGACAACAGCTAATTTGCAACCAAAAGGTGAGTGAGCATAGCGAACAAACTTCAACCTGGAGGCGAGTTAGCGTAGTGAACGAGCTAACCTGAAGGCAAGTAAGCGCAGCGAACGAGCTCCAACCCAAAGGTGAGTGAGCGTAGCGAACGAGCTCCAACCTAAAAGTGAGTGAGCGTAGCGAACAAACTTCAACCAGGACGTGATTGAGCCATGCGAATGAGATAATCTTGAAAATCAAGAAGTTAAACGGGGCAAAGCCCGCGAGTTACAGCTAGTATTACATACAGGTGTGAGTTATTGTTTGAAGAAATGAAGTGGTGATATTAAAGTAAAGAATCTTTTATTTTTATTTACAAAAGAATATAGCAAATATTCTTTTTATTTTTCCTTACAGCTATTAGCCTTGATATAAGTTTCCAGAAATAATTGGTATTAATGTTTAACTTCCTAATTTGGTTGATATATTATCTCTGGGTGTACAAAATATCCTAACATTAAAACCAATTCTCAAATAAAAAAAAAAAAATAAATAAATAAAAAAAACACTTGAGAAAACAATACTAACTAAAAATACAAAACTCAAAATAAATCACTGATAAAAATAACCCAGAGTAAAAAGTTTTTGAATAAAATTAGCTAATTAATAAACATTTTAATTTTACTTACTCCGTGTTGTTCAAGCTCAGAGTCCCATTTTTCTTTATCCCAAAAGTCAACACCCATATATCCACAGTAGCCCTTGGCTGCGAACGGGGTTTTATTTTCAATCTGTTGCTGTTGCTGTTGAACTAACGCAACAGTGTTTACTAAAAAGAAGGCTCTCTTGCCACCTTCGCCAACTTTCCTATTTTGAAAAACAACAAATTAGAAAAATAAAGTAAATTTAGGCTAATATAAACTTTGTAAATTTAAAATATTTTGAACAAACTTTACAGGATCTCAATTCTTGTAGGCTACCATTGTTTTGAGTAGCTTCGGATGGACTTAACCCTTTGAGTGCTAGGCCAATAATTTGTATTTAGTAAGGGTTTTTTGTTTGCTTTTTAATTCCATTACCTGTTGTTGAATTGTAACTGTATTGTTCTCACTATTTATTAATCAGACTAATTTGGAATAGGCTAATAGGAAGTCAAAAACAAATAAACAAAGAAAGTCTTTGTATTTGCGGTAAACAATCAATAAAACTGTGTTTTCATTGTAAATTTCCAAGTTTTCTTATAAATATAATGTTCTGATAGCATTATTTAAAACCCAAATCTCATAAAATCAAAAGACATCTTCTTTACAACGTAATATTGAATTAAAACTTGATTTAATTTGATAAAGTTATTATAATATAGGCTACTTTTTAGAAAAAAAACCTGTTTGTCAGTAAAGCCTCAGTAACACCATTTATTCTTAAATCAGTGACCATTTAGTTTTACTGTTGTGGTTCAGCTGAAAAAAAATGTGATCGAAACAGTCTGTGACTAACTTGTGCTGCTACCTAGTAACACATTGAACAATTAGGTTGTAGTGCCGTCGGTAATGCCATCTGTTAGCAATTGTTAACGTCAGCTAAATGACAGCTTTTATAGCCTATTCTCCAAGCACAGAATAAGGCTAGGGTGTATGTCGCTTGGCCAGTGGAATTAGGCAGTTTGTTCAGGTTAGATTCCCGTCCTGTGAGGCAAATAATTGGTGGCCTGTGTGTTTGAAGCAATATACGACAACCACTGGGACATAGTTAGGTGTTCATAATCCTTGGTTTAAACATTCAACTCGAATCATCGGATGTTAAGTGTATCCTATAAACATGCAGGTCACCATTGGCTGATTTGTTACTTTTTGTTAAAATAACCTTCCTCTCTTTATCCCTTAGAGATTTTAGTGAACAATAACTTAGAGATTTTAGTGATATAACTTATAGTTGTATAGCACTCAAAGGGTTTTAACGGTTAGTTTAATATGCAAAGCCATTGAAGGTAGCAAAAAATTACCATACATGTAGAAATTATTAAGTTGATTAAGTAAAAACTGTTGTGCCTTCAATAAATTTCCTTCCAAATTAAAAACAATTATTCTTACAGATTTTATCAATCCTCTTGTGATGTTCTTCAAGTATATTAGGCCTACCGGTACTGATAAAGACTTATCTGTTGCTTACACCTATTGAGATCTTTATAATACAACCTCTTCTTTTAGAAAAATACAGTTAGTTAAATTAGACTACTTACTTGGAACCACAATCGTTCTGCTTTAAAAAATGCAACATGACCATAATTGAGATGAATGTTTTGCCGCTTCCAGTAGGAAGAAATATGATTTTATTCCTTTCAATGACCATATCGGCAAGCTGCACTTGATAGTCTCGCGCTGCGAATTCATCTTTTTTGTCTTCGGTTTCTTCTGTGTCTGCCATTTTCAATATTTAGCTATTACTATTTTGCTATTTCCTGGAAAATAATACGGTACCTTAAATTTTGTTTTGTAGAATAACAAATAACAAGTTAATGGGGAACTGATGATCACAAACTAATGGAACAGTAAGTAGATAAAGTAGCGTCTATCAAATGACATGATCACGAGAAATGATGATGATGTTTCTCTGACTGCGGGAGACAATGATCATATCTATACAGCAGTGGGGTGTACAAGAATAATGTATTCAACATTTTGCCACAATTGTGGAAAACAATGTTTCCACGACCGAGAGAGAGACGATGATCATGTCTACACTTCAATGGGGACGATGATCATGTCTACACCATCGATATATAACAAACATGGATCGCGCGCTGCATGTGTTGCTTGAGCTGAAACGCGGTCCGGCGCTGTCAGACACCCCCCACCACTTTACGGGCAGCCTATGCACTGCCATTACTGTCAGTATAGCTGTACAGCGGAAGTGCGTGGCTTTATTTTTCCGTAGTAGTATTTCTTCAATGTGATGTACTTTGATCATGACAGAATCGTATTCTGCATTCAATTGTACAAGCAGACATAAGACATAAGACATAAGAAATATTTTATTTACACAATACGTTCTTTATAAAGTACATTTCATACATAAGAACAGGTGTTTCGTCATAGTGATGTATTTTATAGTAAAATTAATAGTTAAAATAATTAAAATAAACTCATGTAGGATATCAGAGAATTTTTATCTACATTATAGGGTTCTCCAAAAATTCGTCAAGTGAATAGTAGGCTTTCTCAATTATTTTATCTTTTATTTTATCTTTGAATTGAGTAGCATTTAAATTTTTAAGATACAGGGGTAATTCATTGTACAATCTAAGTCCCATATATTGAGGGCTGTTCCTAAAAGTCGTCAATTTGTGATGTGGTAATCTGAAATTATATTTATTCCTTGTATTATAATTATGTGTAAATTTGACTACATCTGACAAATTTTCCTTAGTGTTATGTATCCAATTTAGAATTTCATTTAAGTATAATCCAAAAATGGTGTGAATTCTAAGATTTTTAAACAGGTTTTTAAATGATTTTCTCCTTCTTGATTTGGTTAAGATTCTAATAATTTTTTTCTGTAAAATTAGTAGGGATTTGACTTCTGTTGACACTCCCCACAGTATGATTCCATACCTCAAGATGGATTCAACGTATCCATAGTAAACTGTGATACATGTATCCTGAGGTACACAGTTTATCAGGTGAAAGAAAGCAAAAGAAATAGATCTTAGTTTGCCTTTCATCTTATCTATGTGAATCTTCCAATTAATATTAGTATCAAGCAATACACCCAAAAATCTATGAGATTCTACTAAATTTGGAATTTTATCAAGAATTACATTGTTTTTAAAAGAAAATTTAATTATATGAGTTTTGTCAATATTCAGCTTTAAACCATTATCTGTAAACCAAATTTTCATACAATCCAAAGTGTTTTCTATTGATACAATTAAGTTATTTACTGAATCCTCTCTTATGATTGCTGTTGTATCATCAGCAAATAAGATTAAATCTCTGCCAATAGCTTTTGGAAGGTCATTAATAAAGATCAGGAAAAAAAGAGGGCCCAATATTGACCCTTGAGGTACACCATAATTAGATAAATTCCAGTTTGACATATGTTTCACACCGTTTTTGGTCACTATTGTTCTATACTTTCTGTTCTGTAAATAAGAGTCTAATAAAGAAAAACTTTTACCCTTTATACCGTAGTCTTTTAATTTAGAAAGCAAAATTGAATGATCCACACAATCAAAGGCTTTAGACAGGTCACAGAAAACACCAGCAGTAGTTTCAGACCTGTCCAAAGCCTTTGTAACATCATTGATAAATTCAATCAGTGCACTGTTTGTGCTGAATGTCTTTCTAAACCCAAACTGGTTTTCATAAAACAAATCATTGCTGTTAAAATAGTTTACTAGCCGGAAATTGATAACTTTTTCAAATATCTTTGAAAAATTACTTAAAACAGATATTGGGCGGTAGTTATTTATATCGGTTCTAGCCCCTTTTTTGTATATCGGAGTAATATGAGAGTATTTCAATTTTTCCGGGAAAATACCACATTCAAAACATTTATTAATTATATCTGAGAGGGGTTCAGCAATTTTATTTGCTACTGCTTTGATGAGTGAAATGGGAACTTCATCCCAACCCACCGATGTCTTATTTTTCAAAGAAAATATTATTTTTAAAATTTCATTTTTGTTGGTTGGTTCAAAGTTGTACAGTGAACACCCCTTTATATCCACAGATATTTTCATATTTGGATGGACACCCTTTACAATAGGATTTGGCAAGTTTAAGCTATTAACAACATTCAAAAAAAAAGAATTAAAAGTTTTGGCAACAACATTTTGGTCTTCAATTAATTCATTATTAGAGACTTTTAATGAAATATGATTGCCACAACTATCCTCTTTTCTAATGCCTAATTCGTTATTTACAACTTTCCACATAGCTTTTGGTTTATTTAATGCATTATTTATATATTTGCTGTTAGAAATTTTTTTAGAACTGTTTACAACTTTACGAAATATCTTTTTATAAGACTTTACATAGTTAAGAAAAATTGGGTCTGTACTGGTTTTGGCTTGCCAATGCAACTCACGCTTTCTTTTGCTAGAAACCTTGATACCTGTTGTTACCCAATCCAATATAACAGTTTTTATCTTAGATTTCTTTTTTACAGCCTTTAGTGGGAAATAATGATTCAACTGCCCTATAAAATAACTCAAAAAATGGTTATAACTATCATTAACATTACAATTATCCAAACATAATTGACTTTTGTCAATTTCAAAAGTTTTTACATATTCGTTCATAGCATTTTCACTAAAAGTTCTTTTATACATAACCTTTTTGTTGTTGTCTTTTATCAGTTTGTTAGGTAGATTTATAAACAGTGCATTATGGTCAGATACACAAAGACCAATATTATATTTACAGATAACCTTGAGTTTTGTTTGAGTCGCAATGTTATCAATGCAAGTGCGAGAGTTACCTGATATTCTTGTTGGTTCATTGAAGTTAAGATTAAATCCATTACATTCAATAATATCATAGAATTTTGAAATTAAGTTGTTACTTTTGAGAATATCTATATTGAAATCAGAGGCCAGTATGATAGATTTAGTTTTGTTTTCATTTTTTAATTGATTCATTAAAAGTTCTAGTTTAGTGAGGAAAAGCTTTCTTATGTTATATTCTGGAACTGTATAAATTGATACCACTAGTAAATTCATTTCCACAATTTCAACAAATGAACCTTCAAAAATGAAATCCTCATTTAATACTTCCAGGTCTGCTCTTGTTTTAAAGTTAAATTCTTTATGCACTAATATACAAGAACCTCCTCTTTTTTTATTATTTTTTCTTATAAACACATTTCCCAAATTAAAATTATCAAAGGTGTTAAAAATATTAAATGAGTCCTCATTGATCCAATGCTCATTTAGTGCAAAAATCTTAATTTTACGTCCAAACTGTGATAGAAACATATTTAAATCAGCCACTTTACCTGGATTTAAGCCTTGAATGTTCATATGCATAAACACATCATGAACTGATCTCCGAAGTTTCAATAAAGAATTCTCATTGTTAAAAGTACTTTCTACCCTACTACAAAAAATATTATTTACAATAGATGTCTGAAAATAGTGAGTTGTATTACTATTTACATTGGATCCAATAATTGGCTGATTTTTGAGTTTAAAGATGAGGGCACCTCATTCTGATTTTGACCAACATCAGCACTCACAACAGAAGCCATAGCACAGACACTTGCATCTGGGTAAGGTAAACCATTGCACTGCTCTGCTACATTCATCACTTTCACTGATGAGCTTGATCTTGATTCCTCACAGCTGGACTCTAGATGATCTGGAGCAACTCCATGGTTAAGGAGATTCTGTTGTAGGGCTGGGCTGGAACAATTCTTTCCTTCTTGTAGATTTTTCTTCAGGGTTGAGAGGTGTACATCCGTAGTCTCCTGGGAAAGCGAACATGAGGGTTGAGTGGCATCACTGTACTCTGCAGCAATAGATGATTGCAGCTTCTCGAAGAAGTCAGAGTGGGAAAGCCCCCTCCACAGTCTTCTCCTTGCAGCTGGCTGTTCATGCGATATGATGTAGACTGTTGCCTTTGTTGAAAATGTACAATATTCTTCACAAAGTGTTCTATTTCTATACAGTCACGAACACATCCCATTGCCGAACAGATGAGGGTCTTCAGATTTTTGTTTTTAAAATCTTCCTTTAGTTGTTCAAAGGCCTCATCATATTCTTGACTTGATGGTTTCCCATTATAATCTTTTTTGGTAACTAGACTGTAGATATTGGCGCCGCTCTCCACAACTTGCAAGGTTAATCTTGTATTAATGTAGTCTGTTTTTTAGGTCTCCCAAACTTATTTTTGAAAGCTACAGCTACACCAGCCGACATATTTCTGTTGCAGTGAAGATCGCCTGAAATGGTGTGGGCAAATGCCACCGTTGAGTCATTTTCAAATTTACTGAACATATTCCCCATGCTGGTTTTCATGACATTGATGTTGAGTGGCCTTATGTGTAACAGTTGGTGGTTTCTCACTGGGTGTTGGATTAAGTACATCTCTAATCATGCAAGCTATCCTTTTTTTCCCAGACCTATTAAAATGAAGGCCATGCCTAGTATAATGATCACGGGATAACTCATTTATTGGCAAGAAGGCTGCATGATTGAATTTGTCTACTAAATTTTTAATGTCCATGTTGAGGTAGCTTATTCGATTATTTACAGCAGGATTATGGTGTCTGTAAGGTAGATCTGCAACAATTATTTTTGTGTGTGAAGTTTGATTAAGAACTTTCTCAATCATAGCTTGATGATTTTTTTCAGCCTGACTTATCTCATCATTAGATCCACCAAGCATAATCAAAGTATCAGACTTGGTAAAGTGCTTCGTTAGTCCTTTGATATCCCTGACAACTTCTGAAAGGATGGCATTTGGTTTAAAAATGCAGCTGATATTTAAATCACTTTTGGGCCAGACACTGTTAAGTTCAGAAACTACATGCCTTCCATGGCTGTCTGCTACAATTAGAACTTTATTTCTAGTGTCCGGGGGACTAGTCAAAGGTGTAATTGGGGATTTTAAAGACGAGGGAACAAACACTTTTACACCGGCTTCTTTCTTTCTGTGTGAAGATGTCAATTGTGTCTTCAAATTAATGTTTTCCTGTTCTAGATCCTGCATCTGTTTATTAAGAGATGCGATGTTTCCTTTAACTTTGATCTCCCTCATCATTGACAGCAAGGTATTCTTTTCCGTTGTCAATTGATTATTCAGGACGTATGCAATATATGATCGTACTGTTTTTTTTAGCAGAAGAAGTAAGAACAGTTCAATTTCGTACGAAAGAAAATCTCATACATACGAGTGCATAGAGTGCATAGTGCATTATTGAAAAATGTACTTACAGACTTTGAAAACTTGTTTTTTAAGATACTTTGTTTTAGCAAAGCAAAATAAGCAACCTTAGCAGCTGAAAAATGCAAAGGTAGGCATTAGGCAAAAGTTAACAAAACTTGTTTAGTTTAGCAACGTTTGATGTTTTGTACATGAGTGATTTTTAGTTTTGGTGTATATACAGGGTGTCCCGTAAGTAAACAGCCAAACTCCGGGAAATATTTCTATGGGTCAAAATAAAGAGAAAATCAAGAATAACATTTTTTCCAAAATCGCTTCCTTAACCAGGTCCCATTTTACAACTAAATATCTTAATATTTCAGTTATTTCTTATTCGATCTTTTTAAACTTTGTATTGTTTGATAGGGAATTAAAAATGCTAAATAAAAGTGTCTTGACATTTCTTTTTAACATTAGCCGTTTTTGAGCAATTTAGGCTAATTAAAATGGCTGCCATTTTGAAATTTTAAGTTTAATCAACATGAATTTTTTTTCAAACATTGGCTTTTGCTACCATAACCTACATACCAAGTTTTATAAAAATGGGTAAAAAATTTAAAAAATAAAAATGTATATATGTAAAATACAAAATGGCGGATATCTGGTTAACAAAGTGATTTTGGGAAAAATGTTATTCTTGATTTTCTCTTTATTTTGACCCATATATATATGGCCCATATTTATATTTCCCGGAGTTTGGCTGTTTACTTACAGAACACCCTGTAGGCCTATATGAAATCGTTTTGTTAAGCAAGATATTTTCCTGAATTTATGTGCAAATTAAATTTGTTCTAGCAAAGCAAACAAATAAACCTTAGCATAGGCCTACATGTAAATTCAAAGGTTGGCATTATAGGAAGAAATTAACAAAACATGCTTTCTGTTTAGCATCGTATGATGTTGTTTTGAACGTGTGTCCTTATGTCGTTGTGTTGTTTCTTTATGATATTGTTTTATTAAGAAATGTATTTTCATGAATTGAGTGTACAAATTAAATTATAAATACATAGGCCTACTCTTTAATCGTTTAATCGTCTTTAATTGTTCCTATTTCCCCTGTTCTTATAATTTAGTCAGCAAAACTGTTCCAAAAACTGTTTTACATTATTGGAGTTTTTATCAAAATATATTTATTATTTTTCAACAAACAAAATCAATTTAACTTACACAATTAACGGTTAATACTGTAAAATATAGATAACGAATGTTAAACGATGCAATCACATGTGCTGTTAGGTGTTATTCAAGTGTAAAATAACATTGCATTAAATGACGGCGCTGCAGGTATGCCCGTAAAGTGGTGGGGGGAGCTGTCTGTAGCCAGACCGCACAGCTGCTACTCAGCGCGCGATCCATTGTGTTTATATATCGATGGTCTACACTTCAATGGGGGCTATATTTAACATTTTGAAGCGATGCTGGGAAACGAGAATGGTTACTGTGAATTGTGGAAGACGATTATGATATCTATAAGACCGCAAAAGATGTGCAAAATTTTCCCATGAAAGTGAAAATAGATAAGGACCATGGGGGAGGTTTTGGATTTAGCCACGATCATGGCTTCTGCCTTCTTTAATAAAGATTCTTATTATCTGTAGTTTTAAGTTTTGAAATTCTTTCAAACTGTTTTCTGTAAATTCTCTGTTGTTTCATCGAAACCAGATAGATTTTTACTCTAGTTATCGTACTAATGGACACACACGTACTATATATACCTATATATAATAATATAGGGTACACGTACACATGGTGTTTTTGGCCTATGGGAACCTAAAAACATAAAACTAAATCAGTCCCAGAACAAGGTCCTACCATGAGACCTGACAGTAACTTAACGGCGAATGGCTATATGAGAAATTCGCTAAATACAATTTCAACCAGGATCACTTGACAGATACAGGTAATTTAAACTTTTTATTGCAAATTATTACAATGAAACACAGATGTGAGAGTTAAACTATTTAGGTATGACAATAAGATTTTTTACCAAGAGGTTGGCAGCTTCTTTAAACCACATGGGCCTTATGCCTGCGTTATAAGTGTGAAACAAAGGGTTGAACCGGTACCTATAGTATAGCATCTCGGTTTCCCCTGTCAGGAACTGATGAGAACCTCTTTAGAGAAGGAGTGGGGGGCATGGCGTGACGTCACTCTACTCATTAGGGATCACCATTACCGTAACGAGACGATATGATTCGATCGGTGATTGTGGTAGTTGATAGCGTCTCAGACTCACAATCTAGAGGACCCCAGTTCGGATCCCGCCCGCGATACTAACTTTTTGTCCAAGGCTTTGCTTGGATTGCGAATCTTTAGTTAGAATTTGAGGCATTTAGGCCTATAATTCTATTTATGAACAGAACTATTTTTTTAAATTAGTAAACCTTCATTAGATTTTTACTTTAACTTACTTATTTTTTATATTATGGCAAGTTTAGTTGGTTCGGTTAGGTTATGGCAGTTTAATTTTATAATAACAAATTTTTATAATTAAAAATTAATTATAAAGTAATGGCTGAATATTCAATTTTTATTTTATATTTTTTTATATTATCAGCAAGTTTGGTTGGTTAAGTTAGGTTATGACAGTTTAATTTTATAATTAAAAATTTTTAAATTAATTTTTTTAGGTAGTTAAAAAGTTAATTTTCTAACTAACTTAAAATAAATTTAAAGATTTTCTTAAATCGACGTGAGGGGCTCTCCCACAATCCCCCACGCTTTTGCAGAAAAGGTTCTCATCAGTTTCTTGAACAAGCGGAAAATGAGACACTAGTGTACCTATAGGGCCTAGAAGAATGAACAATACTGATCTATTTGTCAAATGGCCGCACTAGGATGCTTTGCAATGACACCACACTTATTATTTGAGACAAAATCCAGTGTGTCCGGTATTTGGTATGTTAACCTTAAGTGGTTATTTTACTAAGTTTAAATTAATCGAATTTGTTGACCCGGGTCAACAAAATAGGGCTGCACTTTACTTTAAATCCTACACTCATTTGAATGAAAATATCGATCGATATATTGATTAATCGATTGTTTCATTAGATATATCGTTTGGTTAGTTAGGTAAGGTTAACCTAACCCAACTAACCAAACGATATATCGAATGAAACAATCGATATTTTCATTCGAATGAGTGTAGGACCTAAAGTAAAGTGCAGCCGCTACAGTTCCTTAACTGGGCTATGCTAATATTGATTGAAACTATCGAATTGAAAATATAGTTTAATAATCGATATTTGTAAATATAGCCTATCTACTATAAAATTAAACTATCATAACCTAACCTAACCAACCAAACTTACTGATGGTGAAAAAATCACATGAAGGTTTACCAATAAAATTTGATAGTTTCAATCAATATTAGCATAGGCCTAGCCCAGTTAAGAAACTTTACCCAAGTCAAACATGTCCAAACCCTGGAATGGAAGGGTTTATTATGTTTAAGCCTAGGCCTAAGTTAAATAGCCTCTTGCAAAACAATCGTAGGGTCTAGGCCTATGCTGGGTAAAACCACTTCTACCTTAAACATGAATATTTTAATATGCTAAATTTACCTAACCATCTGTGTGATGTTTAGTTTGAAGGCAAAAGGTGGGCCTAATGATCACATTGTCATTGCACAACTTATTAGATAGGCCTAAGCTAGTCGTCATGGTATAATGCCTACTAAGCCATTTCAATATGAACAGGAATTTTAATAGGCCTACTATGACCAAATTTAAAGAGAAACATGGGTGTGAACGATTGGAATTAGTTTTTATAAGTAAATAAATAAACTTCACTTTACGCACCTCAACACAGTAAACGCCGGTCTTCCTCTGTTCTGTCACTGTGATTCACTCACACTTCACAGACAGAAAAGACAGCTGGAGTCTGGACTGGACGTGGTCAGGACCAGAAGTCAGGTCAGGACCAGAGGGAGTGAGGTTTGGTTTGGTTTTAATTTTAGGTGTGAGGTGTGCTGAGTCAAAAGTGAAGTGACTCTCAGCATAGATTAAACATACTCCCTATGCTCTCAGCCAGAGAAAGAGAAAACTCTCTGGCCTGAGTCAGGCCAGTGAGTGAGTCAGGTGGACTGGTGGACTGGACTAGAATGGAGGGAGCGACGGAGGGACTGACCTAGACCTAGGCCTAAGTGTCAAGTGTCAATTTCGTTTTCGTAGTCTCGTTTAGGTTCTTAGGTTATGAAGTTTTTCAAATCTTTCAATCTTTGTGTTACCGGTAGCAATATTTACCAGTGTCGACAAAATACTGTAACTGTAAGTTAAAAACGTTGTTTACAAAAAATCATTTGCATTGACAAATTTAGAATATTTACTTTGTTGGGCCTAGGCTAGGTGCTGAATATGTAGTCTATGAGTGCCATAGACTAGAAAAATAAACAGCAAATAATTTTTTAATCATAGTTTTAAACCATTCCCAATGAATAGTAACACATAGCCTAGTACCTTATGTGTGGATTTTCTTAATTTTACTCTTAAAGATGTGATGTTTAACTTCCAACCGATCTGTCAGAACAGAATGTGAACCCTTTCATCAAGCTCAGGAAAGATGAGTGACAAAAGAAAAAGAAAACAGACAGTATTTTATTAACAGATTTACACATTTTATAAACAGAGCAGCCTAGTTATTTTGCTGCACTTTACTTTAGGTCCTACACTCATTAGAATGAAAATATCGATCGATATATCGTTTGGTTAGTTAGGTAAGGTTAACCTAACCTAACTAACCAAACGATATATCGAATGAAACAATCGAATAATCGATATTTTCATTCGGTTGTTTGTGTAGGACCTAAAGTAAAGTGGAGCCAGTTATTTGATAAGCCAATCCTTTGATGTAGCTATCGTATTGTCAGAAAACTTGAGTTTTTTGTTGTCATATGCCCAACCTGTATTCAATATAAGTTAGCATAAGTTTAGACGTTTTAAGCTTTTAAGTTACTCTAAGTTAGTGATTTTGGTCACCCTAAGTCATAAGTAATTTATTAGGCCAGATCAACATATACCTACATGCTTTAGCCAAGTCAAATTAATCATAATTAATAAAACACATTGTTTTTCTTACATTAAAAACAACTAAAGTATATACAAGTAACTATACATGTTATTTAAACTATAGTGTTTACAAGTTAGTCTACCAGTTTTCACGGAAGCTGTAGGCTATACTGCCTTATCCAGCAGGATGGACTTTAACTCCCTTCTAAATTTACCCACATCCTGTTCAGCCTGTAACGAGAAAGGAAGGTTATTGAAGAGTTCCACAGCATTGTAGTGAAAGTGCTTCTGGAAAAATGAAGTTGAATGACAGGGAATGGCAAGGTTTGAAGTGTTCCGGAAAGAATATCTGTGGTTGACTGGAGTGGTGAAAGAAGAAATGTTTTTCTCAGCGAATGACAACGTTTCCAGAATAGGAGAAGGATTCTGAATGATCTGAATATTTCGTTGCAGGGGTCATGACAAAACGTTTCCCCGTGCCGCGTTGTGTGTGGAACTAGTTCCCGAATTTTATGTTAAATCGTATTCGTCCGTCAATGTCTTGTGTTTTATTTATTTAAATGTCGGTGTTTTGTGTGTTTGTAAAACTCGACGACCTCGCAAGAGTGACAAGAGCCTGATGATGAGGTTATAACCTCGAAACCGGTAGCTCATTACTACAAATTTAGGATCATAGATGGAAACAGGTAATCTTATACCATTTTAATAAATGATTCTCTTCGCACCATTGAAGAAGACAGTTTGATCCGACAAAAGCGATTTGTTCTAACAACTCTATTCTGGAATTGGAGATAGTGAGGGAGGTGTTGTCGGCAAATAGGCCTAAGCATATATTTGCCTTCTTCACACTAAGTTAGATGGTAGGCTATTTATGAAAATGAGGAAGAGGATTGATACTTGATACTTGAAGATTTCCCACTGGAAGCGTCACTGCGCCGTGGTCGTCAAAAAAAATATTGGCCTTTTCATTTATCTTCAAAGTACTCTGTCAGTGAGTAGTATGGCCTCTTCAATAAATAATTCTTGAGTAACGTCTTGAATTTTTCTATTTCTTTAATATTTTTGATTTCAGTTGGGATCTTGTTATAGATTTTGGAGCACATAAATTTAGGGCCATTTGCTACTAAAGTGGAGTTTACCTGGGTTAGGTGGACATTTTTACATTACCTCGTGTTGTAGTTGTGGAATGCTGCATTTATTAGAAACAGTTGTGGGTTCTTCTTTACGCTCAGTGCTGACTCCAGGATAAAAAGTGCTGTCATAGTAAGGACCTTGGCTTCTTCAAACAGTGGCTTACAGTGTGCGAGAAATGGTTCCAAGAAAATAGATCTTATTTATTTATGTATTTATTTTGTATATGGCATACAGCATTTTACATTTCACATTGCAATTATATACTGTACAGATGGCCAAAAAAGATGACATAATAATACATGCGACCATTACAACTATCTGCTATACCTACACTCAATTAACAAAACAAAGTTGAGAAAATAAATATATTATAAATATCACAGCAAGAGGCAGACTAGTTAACATGCAGGAACAATAATTCAATTAATATTAACGAAGTAGACTAAATATAAGCAAACCCAAAATTATGAAACACTACAAAATAAATACATAGTATGGCGGCAAAAATAGCAAATTTACAGAAGCGAACAATGTACAAAAGGTACGATAAACTCTGAAGAAAAAAAAAACTTAACAATAAAGGTAACAACAAGATAGACCATAAATATTAATAAATATTAAAAAGTAATGCACAGAACTGAGGGGAGTCGACGGCCCCAACACTACCACACACTCTTGAACCACACACAGAAACATGCACTCACTGGCTCGGAAGTGAGGGGAGTCGACGGCCCCAACACTAAGTCATCGCCACACTCCTAACAAAAAGCTAATTAAAAAAAATCAAACATACACATGCTCCTCTGACGAGTAGAAGTTGGTTAGCTCTTTCCTAAGACGATTCTCGGAGAACTGAATCAGGTTGATGTAACTGGGCAGGCTGTTTCCCAGACGATGAAGGCAGAGCACTGTGGTAAGAGTACAGTGTCGAACAATGAGCTCTCTCAAAGAGTCCTCTGGATCGAACCACCCGAGCACAACGAAAATCAACCCTGCTCAGCAAATCTGGTGAATCGACCGAGGCTGTGATGATCTTCCTTAAGAGCATCAGATCAAAGATTTTGTGTCTCGAACTCAGAGGAAGAAGTCCAAACCGACGTTCCATCTCATCCAGTGGTACTTCAAGGTAGCAAAAGCCCAGACTCACTCCAAGTACTCGGAGAAATTTTCTCTGTACACCCTCGAGAAGATCAACATGGCATATCAGGTATGGTGACCAAACTGGCGAGCAGTACTCCAACAAAGGGCGGACCAGCTATTATTCTTTTTTGTAGGAGAAGTACTCGTTGGGCAGCTGGGCTGTTTCCCCATAGTAGGATCCCATATTTCATGATGCTGTGAAAACAGCCATGGTATATCTTCATTAGTACTTCTTTTTCCAGGAGTGGTTTTGGTCCCAGGATGGATCCCTGGGGCACCCCCCTGCTAACTAAAGCTTCTGAGGAATAAATATTTTTCAAGCACCTCTTTGCATCTACTGCAGGGATCATGACTGACTGCCTTCTCCCCTCCAAGTATGAGGAGAACCAGTGAGAAGCTGTGCCCCTAATCCCAATTTCATTCATTTTACTTAAAAGGAGCCCATGGTCAACCATGTCAAAAGCCTTCGTGAGGTCGAAAAAAATGCCCACCGCAAACTAATTTGAATCCATGTCTTTTACAACTCTCTTTATTAGGCTTCATATGGCACTAGTGGTGGATCTGTTCCTGACAAACCCATGCTGGCCCTCAAACACAATTTCATAGGTTTCAAGGAAACTCCACAATCTTTCCAGAACTGCCTTTTCAAACACTTTGGAGAAAGTCAAAATGAGCCTTATAGGCCTGTAATTTTTGCAGCACAATTTATCACCAGATTTCAGGATGGGCTTTACAATGTTCTGCTTAAGATTGGACGGAGAGTGGCCCTCAACAAAGGAACTATTAAGTGTGTGACATAATGGTACTACAATCTCATCAGATATTGATTTGAGCAGTTTAGGAGAGATTTTGTCAACTCTCCAGCAAATTTTTTGTTCTTCAGTCAACTTATTATGCTTTTTATTTCCTCATTTGTGACAGGGCTCATGAAAAACGAAGATATTATTTGTCTGCTTGGGCGACTATGAACATTATTTGTTTGTCTTTGGCAGTTGGAATTGCCTACTTCAACAAAGTATCTGTTGAAACTCTCACAGATCTTTTCAGGATTGGAAAGTATGTCACCCTTACAGTTCTTGAGGCAAATGAAACACTAAACTCTTATTTGGGGATTCGTCCTGTTATAAGTCGTCATGTCTGCTCATTAACCCTTTGAGTGCCATGTGACGTTATATCGTTGTGTGTCTTTTTCCTGAAAAGTGCTATTGAAACAATATGTCGAAGTTCGCGTTTCGTCTGAGTATTTAGTGCTAAGCAGCAATACATCGTACCAGTGCAACTTTCGATGGTGTTAGTTTAAATGAGCATATAGGTTGTTTATACATAGGCCTAATTTGCCTCCAGGGTTGATTAATTGACATAAAATGAGGTTACTAATCTGTTGTCAATCGATCCTATTTTTGTCGTAATGACTAGTCTATAGTTTCGGCGTTAAGATCCCATTTTCAAATCGTCAAACATATCTTCCTGCACTTGCCGTTGTCAATAATACATTAGTACACATTTAAGCACACACGGTAACATTTAGATTTAAAAAAATTATGTACGATTGCGCTAAGTTAGGCCGGCCAAGAACCATTGGTTATATATAAATAGGCTATCTAATTTTATAATTTTTTTTCTAGATCGAGTGAGATAAGAACTCATCCATCATGCCTGGCGGTCGAAGAAACTTGAGTCGGTCTGGCTCGGGACGACCCCCTCAACCAATATTTTCTACAACAGACGACCTTTCCAAATCAAAGTAATTTTGTACTTTTACTAGATTAAAATTTAGCAATGTTCAGTAGGCTACTTATTTATTTTAATTAACTGGGAAACATATTGAAAGCTCTAAAATATCTGGTGAAAGTTAGAGTGTAAATGCAAATTGAAAATAAGTTCATACTTATTTCAATACTAGTGGATTTCAAGTAGCCTAGTTCGTATCATTAACTAAATAATAAATTGTTATTAATTATTTAAAGTTAAACTCGCCACCATAAATGTTGGATTTTTTCTTAACAGGTCCAGTCGTTTATAGATACATTATACCATATTGTATTATGTTCTGAATTGATCCTATTACTTTAACTTATGTAATTTTGTGATTGACAGATTAGGATTGCAGTGTGAAGGAGTCTCGTCTAAAGTTGTTTCTCCGAAGCATATCCCACTCCCAGTGTTGCCCCAGGACAGTGGCCTAATGTTCGAGGTTATCATGTGCTCGTACACCGCGATGGCAACATTTCTACAATTCCTCCATCTGTACCGCTCGGTATGGTGGTTGCCACAGTCCTACACCAGATATTCTATGGTGAGATCGTCTTTGATAGCAGTCCTATTTTTGCAATTTTGGAAAAAAAATACTGTAGTCTCCTGTTTCTTTAGAGACTTTGAGACCCTTGTCAAGACTAAAAAATATAGAAGAGCAGTAGGCCTGGACACATAAATTAATGGATACATTCCAAATATACATACTATGTAAAACAATAAGATTGATCTTTCTAGTTAAAAAAGTATGAAATTAATTTATTTTTGACCTGATCAATAACTTGATACGGTACAATCATGTTTACATCAAAACATCGTAATGACAAAAACTGACACTGGTATTGTTTACATTCTGCAGACAGCTCGTTTAGCTTTCCGATGGTTGGCGGCTAACCTAGTACATAGGCCTACTATGAGATTTTCATATTGTAAGTTATTGCGGATAATTCTTTTGTGAAAATAATACTAGTATTTATTTCAACAAAACACCAATTACTTGTTATTTTAAATTTTCTTAATACAGAAAAATACATTTGAAATAATTTTTTTTACTAAAAATAAAAAAAAATTCTTATTTCAATGTTTAGGCCTAAAACAACCTTGGTTACGGTAACTCAAGAGCTCGGATTACCATAGTTGGATCATCAGGAGTGAACAGTAATCTGGAAGCTAAACATCTATTTGAAAACAAAATAAAACCAACATCCTATTCTGTGGTATTGTAGCCAAACAGTCAACCAGAACTTGTCTAAACTGCTTTAAAAAAAAAGAGAAATATTCATTGAACATAAACACCCTCTAAATTCTAAATGTTACCGAATAATACACATTCAAACAAATTACTTCAGATGATTCAACGGAATGTGCATTGTACATGCAATATTCAAAGTCAATAATATTTTATATTATATTCTCACAAATAGTACTACTTTCTTGGGTTCACACGAGCCAATGTTGCGTCACGTGACAACTAAATCCACGATTACGCTTAAACTATTAACCCTAAACATTTTCAAAGTCATTAACCAGTGAGTATATACCGGCAGTGCTAACTTAATAGCTAAATTGTATAAACACGGTGCTAGTTTACTTGTTGATAGTTAATTAGCGCTAGTATCGTCTGTTTGAGGCTTAGGTGTTGAATTAGAGCCACCTGTATTTTAATTTTATGAGCTAAAGGATCATACATAATCCATGTTGTAGAACTTCTACTTGATAGACCCTTACCTGGTGGGGTTCATCGGAACTATACTCAGTAGGCGGCTTCTCTACAGCCTGGTCAGTAGAGCAGTCATGCTGTGGGCTCCCCCCTCCATCTGGACAGTACTGCAACAGCTGATCAGGTGAACTATTCTATTGATGAATAGGCCTAATTAATGTGTCAAAGCTGAATTAGGAGTCCACTAAGGTACTTTGGTATTATACCGACTATTATAGCCTAAGTAAGGACAATGAATTGTGTTGGAATATAGTATAGATCGTTATGTCAGAAGAGACATTTTGTTTTGTGGTGTTGTCACGCCGGAGGAGGCGCATAAACAATTGGACTTAAACGATTGGCTATTCAAAGGGCCAAGGTTAGTCGACTACGAGGTCTAGGTAAATATGGCTGCCATGGCATTCTGCCGTTTATCTTCTTAGCTATTTTCTGTAGTTATGCGAACTTATTTCACTGACCATTCCTAATAACTATAACCTAACCTAACCGTGGTTAGGTTAGGTACATTTTGTTATTCAAACAAACTAAAATCGTATTTGGAAGTCGGATTTATCGGTGTGGCCAGTATAGAAATTATTTAAATTTGAGATCTGGTTGGTTGGATTTGTGAATCATATTTTATAATTTAATCAGTTATATTCAGCATTTGGCCGTGCGGTCATAAGTAATCTGTGCAGTGATTTATCCTTGGCAGTAAATTTAATGAACTCTAAATATGGTAGCTCAAGCATAAAAAATTCCTCAAGAAATATTTATTTATAAACCAACTAGGCTACATATATATATATATTTTTTTTTTAAGAGGTTGGCGGCCTCTTTCAACCTTGCATTTGCCCGTCCACATAGACTAAGCGCCCGTGCGTGGAGCGTTTACAGCAAAGCAAGGAGTGAGCCGGTACAGTACAAAGGTGAACTGTACTGATAAATTTTAGTCGTAGTGACCAGGATCCGAACCCACGACATCGCTGCCTTGGGCCCAAAATCCGCGATGCTACCGACTGAGCCACTGACTCACTATGTCATATATATCATAAATCTCCAGTTTAAAAGTTATTAATGGGATTTTATCAGTTTTTTCGGTGTAATACCTAAATACGTATTTGTTGTTGCAGACTGTTTCTCTTAAGCTTGTTAATGGCATCTCTGGTGTGGTGTACATACAACATCATGCAGAATCATCCCATTGTCAACATCTTCTACCTCTGCTATCCGTAAGTCAACATCTTCTTAAACTTGTGAAACTGTTTAGTTTTAACCTCAAAAACTGCCAAAAGAGAGATATTTAAGTCTCAAACAGAGTGAATATATGTTTACTTACTTACTCTAGGGCGTCACAAATCTCAGTTGATATTTAGCCTCGTAGATTAGTCTCATCCACTCTTCTCTATCCTCTGCCATCCAGATTTCTCATCCTTTTTGACTTAGTCATCCCATCTTAAGTAAGTCTAAGGCATGTTTTCCTCTAGGTACCTCCTCACAAACCTCCTTCAGTCCTGTGCCCTCCTCTCTACGAAGTGCATGACCTAACCACTAATTTGTTTGGCTTTTTTATGAAAGTACATGCTTATGATAATACATATTAGTCCAGGCATTTTAGACTAAACTTGTGTCAGATCTCAAAAAATCAGCTGATCATTATGTTTACATGTATCATGTGTTGTCGTGTGTGAGATTGACAATATACTTTCTGGTGTTTAAAATCACAGTATTCAGCAGAAGATAACAAATGTGTATGTAGAGCCTGAGGATGGTACATTAAAATCTATTAAAATAACTTATCCTTCCTTTACGTATAAATTAATATATTTAATTATTAACTATGACCACATTTTTAATTTTTAGAATTTCCGTCTACTTTATTCTCTTTGGTCTGAGCGTTAGTCCGTTCTTCGATGTGACGTCACTTCCTTCTATCTCAAATGACGATGCAAAAGCCACAGCTCAAATTTTAGGTGAGTAAATGATAATTGTTCAAAAAAACTGCAACTGTTGTTTACTTAGCAGATTAAACGTCTTTCTGCTAAAGGGTGATATAGTTCTAAGCAACACATTGAGCAAACAACATCTCTTGAAGTAACAGAGTTCTCACTCAACCAACATGAATCAGCTGTGAATTTTACCAACTGAGGAGAAAACTGAAATTAGCCACAAATTTCACCATCAAATCTTACAACTTGGGATGGGTCTATTCTTGTCGATTATAATTATAAAAAAGCTTTTGTTACCTATGGTATGAAGGAAACGTCAATTCTTCATACTCTGTTATTTTGGTTTCACGGTGAAATTGTTATCACACTTGCTAGAATAAAAAAAAACAAAAAAAACTTAGTTTTGTTTCAATTTAAATATAGTGTAGGAAATAAACTTGGATGCTATTAAAATTGTGTTTTCCCTACTATTACTATAAACTACAAGAAATAAATATTTTACTGATACAATACTGCAATTCTTTTAATAATCTTAATAAAAACTGTTTACAAAATTCTCACAATGTACCAAAGCAACTGATCCAGAACAAATATAGCAAATTTTAAAAGATCAGCTGTCTGTAAAAAGACAAAAGGTAAAATAGATCAGCTACTGATTCCAACATATAGTATCCTAATTTTCCCAAACAGGTGCTCGGATTAGCAGGACTAATGTGTGCGGAGTTTTTAAAATTCCTAAAACGTTGGTTCTGAAATGTCTAAACACTGATGTGTGCTATTGAATATTGTGTGTAATTATGATATAGTTACAGATAAACACATTGTATTAGCAATCATAAAATGTGTGCACCATCAAAATGGCTTCATGACCATAATGGTAAGGACACCACTATCCTCTCACACAATCATAGTAAAATTTTGAACTCCTATGGTTGCGGTAACATGATCATCACATTTTGCAATCGCAGCAAAAATCGTACACATCTCCCACGGAAGCGGAGATATCATCATCACTTTCTGGGATTGCAGCAAAATCGTCACTCCTTTATTCGTGAGGACATCATTGTACTCTGCAATCGTGGTAACATTGGGAATTTTCAATCGTCCAATCTTTGAACAATCTTACGGTTTTTGTGAGCTGAGATGCTTTTACTGAAATAAAACTTGGCTCAGCTCGATTTCCTGACTTGGTGTTCAATCATCCGAGGTTTTAGTGGCTAGTATTTTTACAATTTAGTCAAGAATCAGAATGACATCCGATCTAGCTGGAGTCTGGGGCAACATCGTGAACCGAAATAAAATTTGTAGCCTGTCTTGATGAGTGTTTTACATTCTGAGGCTGATCTAAGGGTCTTCCAGATTACACTTAGAACACTTATGGCTTTTAGGACATTTAGTGGTAACGGAAAAAAATGTTGTAGGCAAACCACTGCACAGCTGCTCCATGTCTCCGCAGACCATTAGAGAAGAAGTGGATTATCTCAAGGCAGACTTCAACATCAGGATGAAGCAAGTTTTATTCAGCTCTGTCCTCAATGCTTACTACGCTGGTTTTGTGCCATGCTGTTTCGCCCAGGTTAGTTTGGAGGGTCATTGCTTTAAGTAGGCCTATGTTTTGCTCTAATCTAACAATACAGTATTTTGTTAGTTTCCACTGCACAAAAAATATAAACTTCTTAGGGCCGGACTACACGAGCGTATGAAACGCCACCGACCGTCTGCTTTTTTTGCAGAGCCAATAGCTTTATATGACGTGGACTACACGGGCGTTTTGTCTGCCTGGTGAGGACGCGTAATTCAGGCGTTTGGCAGATCTAACGCATCTGGATGCGTAAAATACGCGGGCAGATCGTCGGCGCGCCGGACTACTCGTAGCGGCAACTAGCATTTCTCCTGCTCGTTGGTTGATACATCCCTCCCATCACTTTGGCAAGTCCAATTCTGCACTACTTGTAATTGGAGTAGTTTTTTGTTTGTTTTTTGTAACTTCTTGATCAGCATTGTACGTGTTATTAAATTTACGGAAAGTAGCCTAAATAAAAGAAACGTCTTAAAATGGTTTTTTGTGTCTCAATATTTGTATTTGTTTTGCTGAAAAAAAATTTCTGAGTACATTCTATGGAAACATTACTTGAAACTGCCATGTTACTAAACAACTTGATAATGTTGGGTGTGACTACCAACGCCTCTTTGCACGACGTTTCTTCTTAACAGCCTGCAACAATATATCATACCAGCTACACATCCGACTTGTACAGTATCGTTTCCATATTGGAACGGTCCAAATGCAATGAATACACAAACTATAGTTACCAAACTACATAGTTACAAACTATAGTTACAAACTATATAGTTTGTGTGTATTCATTGCCAAATGTCAGTCACATTGGGCGAGGACAGTCGGCGGCGTTCTATACGCTCGTGTAGTCAATGTTCTTGCGTTCAATACGCTGCTGATTGTCGGCTTCGTGTAGTCCTAGACATTTTTGCGCGTACTATCGGCGGCGTTTCATACGCTCGTGTAGTCCGGCCCTTAACTGTAAGAAAATGTTTGAATAAATGTTAGTGTTTTAATTCTTTTTCTCCAATACATAAGAGTACGAGCAATAGTTTAAAAGTTGATCAATCTATATTGTCTTGATGATTTTAAAGTTATGATGTAAGACTCAATTTTGTTACCTAACATAAGAATTGTCTCTTTAACTGATTTACTTGGATGACAAATCTCTAAGGAATTATGTTCATACTATGATATATCAAACAATAGGTAGTATATTTCATCACTGGGGCACAAAATAACTCTTTTTGACCAGAGCTCAAGTTTCACAACTAAGGTGAATACGAGGTCGGAAAATGAGCGGGAGTTGAAAAGACATTTTTTGACCCGTGTGATGAACTATGTATTCTTTTCATATTACACCATAATTTAAGCAAACAATATCATGCAAAGAACTCTCAAAACGACTTCCAACTAATTTTTAATTAAGCTGTTAGTAATTTAATCATTTTGTCTACTACGTTTGTGTTAGTATTAATTATACCATCTATATATCATTGATACAACAGCTGATTTTTACTCCCTAGAGAGAAAAAGAGCTTCTTTAGACCCACAAAGCATGTATTAACCCTTCCCGGATGGTTGACGGATATATCCGCCTAAGTCTTTGGCGATATAGGACGGGTGGCGGATATGGACTTTATGAAAATGTAAAATGCACAAATAAACTAAATACAACTGGTGGAAAGAAATTATACACTGGTGTGTTTTATACAGTATTATGCTGTTCGATAGTATGGAATTAGATATAATGAAACATACGTTTACTTCTTATGGTTTTTGATGTTCCGTACGGGAAGCGGATGTATCCGCCTTCTCTTCAGACAGACTGGCAGGTGCTTGAGCAGTAACCAGATGTTTCGCGGTACCAAGGCACCACTTTCCTGCTCCCTCCATGGCTGCGCTCTCTCCCGCACTCCCCCCTCTCTCCCCCGCCGACCCTTCTCCCGCGCACCACCCACCTCTCCTACGCTCCCTCCTTGACGTTTCGTGTTCAACACTATGTTGTCTTTATTTATTGTTTACATATTGTTCTTTATTTATTGCCTTACGTTGTCATGGTCATATCTTCAAAGACAGGCGGATATATCCGCTGCTTTTCTATTCATCCGTGGACGGGTAGCGGATATATCCGCATATTTAAAAACAAGTAAAAAATTATGTTGAAAGTATAAAGTGTTGCATTGTGTTTATTTTATGTATACTTGTAAACTAAAACACAAATAAAGAAAATTCATTTTTATTTTTTCCTATAATTTTTTCTTGTTCTATGTCACGATTTCGCCCGTCTGGGAAGGGTTAAAATCAGCTACTTTTGCTTCAGTGTGACAAAAATTTTGTTTTACAATTATATTGTGGTAACAAGGTAAACAATTCAGAAACCCCAGAAACTGGCCGTAAAATAAAACTGAATTCCTTAATAGGGCATTGAGTCTTGATTATTTTCATTGATCCGAATATTGGATTAGCTTTAGCTATGTTTTGAAAAAAAATATCAGTACTGAGTACATATTCTTGAAGTTTTTCTTTATGTTTTAAACTGATGTACCGGTAATTGATTTGTTTCTCTAACATTTAAAATAAAATATAATAATAATAAATTATCTTATATTTCACATTCAGTAACAAACATAACCAGCTTATATCTAATCGTTTGGTAATAAATATAAAAAAAACAATTGAATGCTTCTTTGAAAGTTGTAAAAGCCTATATATTTATCTACCTGTTTGTAATGTTTGTATGTGTATTTATTTAATGATTGATGTTTACGATTTTTAGAATTTTCTCTACTACGACATCTATTGGGCTACACAGCATTTGACATTCGTGTGGCTTGGTTGCTTTACAATGTACCTGGTACATTGCTTCCCGGTCAAGTAAGTTGAAAAATATTGAATTGCATAATCTAATTTCTCGTATTGATCTGTATATATTTAGTTTTAGTAATTCATTAACGTAATTTGTGAACCAGTTTTGTACTGAGAACCACTCAATAATAAAGGCATTTTGATTGATTGAATGCTAATACACTTTTCTTGTAGAACTTCATTTGTACTATTCAAATCTATACGACCTAAAAGCAATTTCAATTTCTACAAGAAAGAATTTAGCTGCTACATTTTCAGGTAGGTCTCTCATTAATTAATAACCTATAAAGGTTTCATTTTGTAAGTTTATTTCTAGTCATAATGTTTCACCTTGTTTGTAATAAAAAAAATATTTAAGTTTTCTAATTCTGATAAATTTGCTTATGAACAATGTTTTATAGTATAAAAACCGTATGCTGTAGGCCTACACGTTTTAGTTCCTTTGCAGTTTTTTTTACTGTTTTCATTTACACTACTTAATTCTAACAGCATATTTTTGTACTTGTAGTGCAATACATTTGTTGTGTGTTAAGTTTGGTTCTATAGCCTATGCTATATGAATCCCATAATGTAGTTGTAGATAAATAAAAAGACAAGATTGAATACATGCTTCTGTCAGTTTGGGTTCTACCTTGTTTGCCTTTTCTCACCGAAGATTGTGGATTTTCAGGTACTGTGACACCCTTCACCGGGCAGCTCTCCACCTCGGACGTTGGGCGAGAGTGGAAGGCCGAACAATGCATCTTCCTTCTCACATGTGAGTAATTCATCTCAACAAGTTGATTCATGAACAAGAGGTGAACACATCAATTTCTGTTGACATTTTGAAAGTACGTTTTAACTGTAGACAGAAAGTATTCTACAGAGTGGTTGTTGTCTTGGCTGTTGCCCCATATGCAGTGTTGCCATCTTTCTCTGGTTTACTTACTCTATATGCAAAGCATGTATTTACATACACAAATAAATTTATAGTAGGCCCTATGCGTATATACAGGGTGTCCGTAAAAGATAAGCATAGTTTCATACTCAAGCCACATCGATTCTTTCAAACAAATGATGTTCTACCAGTGTCAGTTGTATCGGCTACATGCTTAAGTTTAGTTTTACTTACAATTGTTGCCAAGTTTCTTTATCCAAACAGAAAACATATTATGTTAAAAAGTAACAGTGCGGCTTGAGACAAAATTTTACTATTCTTTGTGGACATCCTATATTTGTTGAACGCTAACCACCTACACACCTTACCTTACACGAAGTTTAATTATAATTATAGAATAAGGATTAGGCCTACAGCTAGCTTACCTTAAACAAGTACAGGTAGGCTATAGAACATACAGAAGAGGCATTGAACACACATTAGGCCTATTAACGCATTATTTCGCCTCCTTTTCAAACAAACTCTCTCCACACTTGACAAATCCCCTCAGGGGATGAAATATTGTGTGTTGTGTTCAGTGACTCTAATGTATGTTCTATAGCCTATCTGTACTTGTTCAAGGTAAGCTAGCTGCTACCCTCCTTAGTCTACAATTGGAAATCCTGGCATAGAGCCTTTTCTTGAACAAAACTAACTTTTCATGAAGTAAAGTTTGTATGAGGAGCAAGTTTGATTAGTGACACTGGAGTCTGTTTCAGCTGGTCGGACACCACACTGTGGCACCAAGGAGCGCTGGTCAAGCATTGCAAGGAGTTGTACAAGGCCGAGGGTATCTCCAATGCAGCGGAGCCTGGCAACCCCTCACACACTCGCTTCTATGTGAGCAATCGTTTATTGTAACTTATAGTTAAGTTTAGAGATACAGTCCTACCTGAACCTGCATCTCCTGCTCCGACAGCTTTTCCAACCCTACACCTACTGCCCAGAGTCTCAAAATCCCCCACCACACTAATCCAACAAAAACAAATATCTCTATTCTGAGCTGATGGTAAACATTTCTGTTTCAGTCATGCTTCAACAACCCAGCCCTGCCGCTGTGTGTGATTGTGGGGCTGCAATTAGCCCTGGTCACTCTGCAGGTACTGATTTTTTTTACTTTTAGTTACTCTAATAACAAAGACTTACAATCAACTAACAATCACAAAACAATTTAAAACATAGTAAATTTGCTAATACTAAGCAGGGTAACATTTAGTGGTATTTTGTATGAGACACTTTTTGGTATATTTCAGGTTGTTATCTTGATCAGAGTGTCCGAGTGGTACCAAGTAGTGTCTCTGGCGTTGCTTCTCTTCGCCAACTACTACACTCTGTTCAAGCTCTCCCGAGATTACCTCGTCTGCTGGAAGGTTTACAAGGCGGAGGCTATGATCCAGGATAAAATAACTGGAGGATAAATGTCCTTCAGAATTGATTCGACATTTCTTTCGTTTCTCCACAATGTTTCGGAAGTCTATGTTTGTCGTCAGCGTTGTGTCACATGATGTGATTCCCCGAGATCTCATGACGGAAGGCGTACATTACTCCTTCTGTTTTTAATTATAAGGAACTTTTTTATTTAATTGTGAGTTTTGTTTGTGTAAGTCTCCTGAACCAGTTTTACAAGAATAGTAGTAAAATTTTGGATTAAACTTTTATATCTGACTACATTGGATTATCAAACAATCTATAATTCAATGGAGGCGTATTCTTCTAATAGGTGTCAATATACAAACCATTATTTCAGTATTAAAATATTCAAAAATTGTACACTCAGTGAAAATAGCGTAGTGCTAAAATATTTACTTTGTCACAAGGCAGTTTTTGCCAAAGTTGGTTGTTAAAAGAGAGAAACCAAGTTGAGGCATCAGTAGAAGACACACTTACGAATATTATCATAGTTTCTGTATCACATTGACGGATCCAAAACCAAAAAGAATAAAGCTCAGCCAAACTAAGGTTGATGGTCGTGACTGGTTGGACAAATTTAGAAAGATGGCAGCTGTTTGCTTGCTTACTACAAAACAAAACAGACACTACATTAATACAAAAATGTTACGATATTGTTAATCTAATGCAATGATTACTTTGCAAATTCTCTGACCAAGCTCAAATCTGAAACCATGTTTTTCACTTAATCAATTATCGTCTACTATTCTGGCCAGTTTCCATGCTAATACTACAATTAGTCTCTTCTAATAGTAGAAAACGATGCAAAGGAAATTTTACACTTGTTGGGAAATTCACTTTTTTCTCGTTTTCAACTACTAAGATGGAAACTGTTGAACAGTGGTGGAAAACAGCTAGAATATTTCAGCATGAAAATGGTGATGATTTCATATTTGAGCTTTGGTTGCAACGGAGGCTCGGAGATCATAATTAACGGACAAGCCTTGTACCATTGACTATACACAGACTATTCTGTGTATAGTCAATGCTTGTACTTATGATTAAGATTTTAAAAACTTTGGAATAAACAAACAATAAAAACATTTTAAATCAAATTTTATATTTCACAATATCAAATAGCTCAATAAGAAGTACAATTATATTCCAGGAAATATTGGAGGTAACTTAAAGCAACCAAAAATTTAAATGTTACAAAATTATTCAGTTATTACCATACAATCACACTACACAATACTTAAAACAAAACAAATCACTTTTCCTTATTATCTTTATGTGAGTTATTCTAACAAAAAATACTACTTAAAATAATCTCGGAGGAACAAGTTTTTGGATTCTTAACACTATTTTTATTTTTACAATCAAAGAAAAAAACACAATCTACCGCACAAAACATAATATTTTAACTTTAAAAATATAAATCACTTTGAATTAAATACTTGTTTTATTAACAAATAAAAACGAGTTCTAACGCTGACATGTACGAAAAGAACTTTAACATCCAAAAATAAATTGGTTCCTCTGAATGGTGGAGGGGGTAAAAAAAGAGCGAGGGGAAGTTGGGTACAGAAAACTCATTTGTGGTCATTCCCAACCAATATTAAAATGAACCATATCATAACTAATCTCAAATATTTTCTTATACAGTTTGTATCAGACGACACATTGTCTTTGGCCAATTCCAAGGTAGTACTTAATTTCTTAACCCAAAACTAAAATTCACAGCAGCACAAAATAATTTAGTCAAACTATCAACAATCCCTGATCTGCCTAATTGTGTAAACCTAAGACAATACAATGTGAAAATTGTCAATCCTGTTAACAATAAAATATAAATGCTTGTTGCAAAAGAAACTAAAACATTCTCAATCAACAGAAAAACTCTGTTATTAACTAATTTCCAAACAAATCACATTGGTGTGCGTATTAAATTACAGAAAGTATGGTAGCCTATGTAAAGGAAGTAAAATATACAACTAAGGTAGGCCTACTCTAATTTTAATAACCTACTGCACACAGTTTGAGCATCCTCTTATTGATTTTAATTCTTAAATCTCTTGTTGGCTTTTGGATGGTATAATAATAAGTTATATATTATCCAAACAATAGTTATTTGTGCAACTAGTGAGCAAAGGGAGCAATTGACTCACTCAAGAGAATTACTTACTCACGAGCCGTATGCGAGTGAGGATTGGTTTCTCGATTGAGGCAATTGCACTTTGCACTCGAGTTGCACATTATATTTTTCCTACAGTTACCATAAAACAAATAAATTGGTAAAGAAACGTGACATATTTTTACACAGAAGTGAACTTTTAATATTACATTTAATGATTCAACAGTACAACAGCTGACCAGCTGATTTACAGCCAGTGCTGCCAACGTATTTCGTGCGCATACGACCTAGTCTGCATGTTACGCGCTCACTATTTCGTGCCTTCACGTTGCAAATCTGGAGTGAGTGAGACAAAGTAATTAGAGTGGGACAATGTTAACATTGTCTCACCGATGGGCAAATTGGCCACTTTGCTTTCTCAAATCAGTGAGAGAACATGTAAATTGTTAGGCAACTGTAGGAAAAATTATAAAAGAGCACTTACAAATCAAGTTTGCTCCTGCAAACACCAACTCTATGTGTTTTTTGGAGCAACATATTTAGATACATTTTACAGTCAAAATAAATAAAAGAACGAAGCCTATTTTGGATGTACAGTACCTCAAGAAAAAGATAAAAATAGTTAGAGAGTAAAAACTATGCAACAATAAATATATGAAAAACAGATAGCTTGTGATGAAATAAGTATCACAAAAAACATTAAGAATTAGTTAAAAATCCATCAATATACAATTCAAGCTACAATTACTGTACATATTGCAAAAAATAGTATGACTTATGATAATACTGAAAACAAACTATACAATACAGTATGATACTAGTGCTATTAAGTACTAGCATTGACTATTGGATAATAGTTTGGTGGTAGTTGTGCAAATTTTTTATGAAAAGATAAAAAAAAAAACACGCTCGAGTGGTAAGTATACAACAATGGAACTGAACATAATTACATCAGTCTTGTGGCTTGAATGTTTATTATATCGAGCTGATGTAAAAAATGCAAAAATCATTTCTGAGGTGATTAAAAAAAACTTAATGCAGCACCTTTTATGAAGTTGTGATGAGTTAATCCTTCGGATACAGTTGCTGTAGCCACCGTAGGGGTATGTATTGGGATCCGTCGTAAGCAATGAAGTAATGCTTCAAAAATCGGTTTTTAATCTGAAACAAATAGAAAACGAGCTAAAAAACCTATACAATGAAAACAAGAAACAATGAATATGACACTATTATAACTTAAGTTAAACATAATATGTCATTTATTGTAAAAAATAGATAAAAAAACTACCTAGGTAGGGTACTTGTTCAGTCAATGGAAATTGTTCATGAAATTAGTTTTTTAGTATTGGATAGGATTGTTATTTATAATGAAACTTTTAACAGCGGTTTATTTTCTAAGTGCAAGAGAATGAACACATTTCAAAGAGGAAATTGACTGAAAACCTCAAGTTTTTTTTAGATATGCAAGCGATCACAATCCTCCCTCTTGTTCCTAAGTCGAAGACTGAACGACGTTCTGAGCAATGTGGTTGTCTTTTATGAATTCACCAAATTAATTTAAGTTTATGGTTGGTAGGCCTGGTTAAAATGCTTGGCTACCCATCATCTCAAATTAATACTAAGAGAAAGAAGATCAGGTTTGCTTGCACTCAGTGGTGTAACATAAGGGCCCGCAATGCAGGGGGGGGCCCGGGAGCTGAGGGGGCCCGCGAACCGGTGAGCAGAGAGGCCCATGAGACAAGTGAGGCCAAAAAATTGGAGTTCATTCTTATTTAAATGTATTATCAATCATTCAATAATTGTATTGAACAAGTAATAACATTGATGTTATTAATAATATGTTATCAGTTATCGTTTAATTTCGTTAGGCCTCTTCAGTGATGCCCAACCTTTTAGTTTTGAAAGGGACTAAGGCTGACATATTCCTTAGACACAGATGTTAATTAATAGCCAATACAGCAAAAAGGCAACTAAGGGGGTTAATCAAACTACTTGTTGTCAAACTACTTAAATCAAACTAAGGTAAGTCAAGCATGCCTAATGGTGCAGCTACTTTTGAATGGAAAAATGTATCGGTCCAAGACATTATTAATGCTGTCTTGGGCTTTAAACTCTCTAACAGTAAAGATTTGTGTGGCAGGACACCTAATAGGGGAATTTGAACCACATTTTTGCCTTGTAATTAACAAATTGAGAAACAACTGAGAAAAAACAAAAAACCTGAACAAAAAAGGTATGGAGGAACTGGAACTTGTCACCTTTCTGGAATCAAACTCCCTTCTTCAGTGGTGTGAAGAAAATGACCTAATCTTGAACGCTCAAAAAACCCAAATAGTCCAATTTTCCATTTCTAACCGGTCAAAACGGTCCCACTATGACTTGAACATTCTCCTCGACGATAACACTATCTCCCCTTCTTCAGAAGTAAAATTCCTCGGTCTTGTCCTTGATGAAAACCTCAAATTCCACAGCCACATCAAGCACGTCAGCAAGAAAGTATCGGTGGGTATATTTATGCTGAGAGTTCTAAGCCAATCAGCCACCACTGATGTCCTATTATCAGCCTATTATGGGCTTGTCTACCCTGTCCCCTCATCTGACTTATGCGGTTCCTGTTTGGGGGTGCGAAAGTGAGAGGACTAGGTTCTTGTTTAGGCTTCAGAGAAGGGCAATTCGAATTGTGTTTTCTATTTCCAAACAACAATCATGCAGAGATTATTTCAGAGAATTTAAAATTTTAACTTTCCCAACTATTTACATCCTCGAAACTCTATCTTTCCATAGCAAAAATACTTCCTTTTTCTCATCTGCAAAAAATTCCAGGTATCCATTGCGCAATACTTTAAATCTACCAATTCCCCGGCATTCCACTTCTTTCTTTCAAAGAAACTTCCATTACAATTCTGTAAAACTATTTAATAGACTTCCACCTCAATTGAAGGCCGAACAAGATCCAAAAAAGTTTAGAACAGGTCTAAAGTCCATGTTGTTAGATAGATCATTTTACAGCGTCCGTGAATTTCTACTTTAGTGGTCATTCACAAAATCATGTGCGCATGTTTAGTTATTTAGTTACAGAATTTTTTACAGTAAGGAATTTTTTGTTATTAAGATGTAATGAATTTATTTTTCTTGTACTGACTTGGCTAATGTAAGTATTGTCAATTTGGCCCAATAAATGACTTATTGACTTATTAAAGAAGAAAGAAAAATAACAGTTTTTGAAAATAAAGTATTGAGGAATATTTTTGGCCCAACGCTAGAAAATGGAGAGTGGAGGAAGAGGCACAACCAGGAAGTAAGAGAAATGTACAAAAATGCAGACATCATCGGAGAAATAAGAAGTAGGAGACTAAAATGGGCAGGACACATACTAAGAAGAGAAGAAGAGTCAAACCTGAAGAACATTCTGAGGGGAACACTAGAGGGACGAAGACCCAGGGGACGACCAAAGACTAAATGGTGGAACCAGGTGCAACAAGACATGAGGCGGCTGGGAATTGGAGAGGAGGATGCTGAAGAAAGAGACGGATGGGGGCGCTGTGTTGCTGAGGCCAAGTACCGACTGGGGTACAAATGGCCAGAGCAGTAAGTAAGTAAGTAATTAACAAATTAGTCTGATTATCAGGGTAATTCAAGACAAGACAAGACATAAAATAAGTTTGCAGGGGGGTCCGTACAAATTTCTTATGCCACTGCTTGCACTAGAGAATAGTAAAATTACCATTGTGTTTTTGAGCAAATAGAGTTGATCCTGTTTGACATCGATAACTCCCGCAACTTCATTTCCCTCCACGGAGGATTCATCCAGAAGAATTCTGTAGACAGGCACCTGTGTTTCCTATAACACATTTTTAGTATAAAAAGATAGCCATTCAGTCACATCCAAAGGCTACTTTCAATGCTGCCAAGAAAATTGTAACTTAATAAGGTTTATTCGGTTGATTACATTGGTGTTGCTAGTAACTTCGCTGAGTTAGGCCACAACACACAAACACACATAGACATTCAATCAAAATTTAACATATAGAGAAGCATACATTATAGGCCTATATTTTGTTTTGGTCTAATGAGTGAAAAGTAGAGGTGCTTGAATATTTTTTTTGTGATTGAGTCTAGTACGTACTTGTCATATTTTTAAAAGTGATGGTCAGACTAATGTAACGTAGGCCTACTTTAACTTGTACTTCCAAACATGCCTACCCAAAACTAGTAGCCTAACCTAATAACTTATACCAGTATTAGGTTAGGCTTCTAGTTTTAACTTATAGCTAGTAACTTATACCGGTAGGCTATCATAAAATTGATTCATATGGAAAATTTCCATTATAACGTCAAAAATTCTAGGTATATGTATATACTCAATTATTCTAGTCAATGCATCTAACATAGGCCAATACTTTACCTCTGCATCATCGTAGTTCCACTCCACAATGACACCTCTATATCTTGCGTTGAGGTGTTCCACAACTTGTCCCACTCTGAACCATAAACCTGGGGGTCTCTTGTTTCGGACTGCAATTGATTTCACTTTTAAACCATGTTTCTTTCTAAACTCTAGAACTTCAACAGCAGGCGACTCATCAACAACGTCCTTTTGAACTCCTAATACATCTGAAAAAAATGCAAAATTAATTTTTCCCATAAGCCATAGACTACTTAGGCTATTTTTGAAAATATGAAGCACCAAAATATTGTTGACACGAAACAAGGTTCTTTCCCTAATTACTGTCAATTTGTGTAGGTTATAAGTTACTAACTTATGGACTATGGTACTTAATGGGTTTAGGCCTACAGTTTACAATTTAAACATAAGCTAGCTGCATTAACGTAAGGTTTGGTTAGCTTTTAACTATGACGTCACAGGTAGCCTAATTCTTCTGTCGATCGATAAATTGATTAAGTTACCAGCATTTTATTCGATAGGCCTATATCAAGTTTGGTTAGTTAGTTTATCCTAACCTAACTAACCGAATGAAATAATCAATATATCGAATAATCTATAGGCCTAAGTTATATCGGTATTTTTTTATTTGAATGAGTAGGCCTATGTTATTGACAGATAAGTTACTAAAGTGCAGCATTATAAACATTTAACTCTACGGCAGATCTATTTACCATTTACCATCGAAGTTTTCGCCGCAGTCCTTGGAGACCGGGGAATTGTCAAATCTTTTACGTCTTTCTTCTTGCTTGCTTCTTGTGTGTAGTGTTGTAGGGTAGTGTGGGTGAATGTATGATTTGTATTATAAGTGTTATTTTGTAGGAAATTTATGTTCTTCTAGATATTCTGTAAATTGTGTAATAAGGTCGATTTATGAGGTAGGCCTATTGTTTCAGCTGTTTTTTAAAGATAGAGAGCAAGTTTATGTTTTTAAATCTAGGGTAACTTAGCCTATTGTTTATGCTTACCTATATCAAAGATGAGCTATAAAATGGCATGATACTCACTAGTAACAAACCAAGATAGAATATTCGTCCAAGTATTTTCCCAATTTTTCAAGGAAAACCATGTCTGTTTAAAATGTCTCACTTCATTTATAAAATCCAGTACTTCTTGATTGGTGTTTTCAGAAGTAGTAGTTTTCTGGCTAGATAAATAAAATTGTAAAGGCACACAACATACTAAAAGACCAAGTTGAATGTAATCCCTATAATTCCACGGCATTTTAAAATGGTTGGATACATCACTTTTCACTAAATAAACATGATAGATATTTAAAGACTTTCAAACGATGTTTTAAGCTTGATTCGTCCAATCATTTTAAACCACATCTTGTTTTGTTTTCGTTTTCCAATACAAAAGACAACACGACACAGACAAAACAAAATATAGGTTAACCGCTGATGATGATGATAGTATAGTAGTAGATAACGTAAAGATAAGCGGGAGCGGGACCGGTGGGGCACACGGGAGGGACTAAGGCTAACATATCTTGTAGTGTCAGCGTTCGCCGCTAGAACTGCTAAGTTGAAAATATTTAAATTATTTTTTTTTAATTTTTAGTTTAGTTATAAAATTAATTTTTTATTATAAAATATTGTTATAAAATTATAAAATTAATTTTTAATTTTTAAAATTGTTAACTGTCATAACATAACCTAACCAACCAGACTTGCTGATAATATAAAAACTATATAAGATAAAAATCATAATTAATAATTACTTATAATTTGTAATTTATTATAAAATTAAACTGTCATGACCTAACCTAACCAACCAAACTTGCTGATATGAAAAATTTGTTGACAAAAAGTTAGTGCTGCCAGCGGGATTCGAACCCGTGACCTCCTTAACATCAATCCGATACGCTACCAACTATGCCACGAACGCCGCTGAAATCATAACGTTTCGTTACGGTAATCGTGTTGCCTCAAGAGAAGACATTAGCCACTAAAGATATGACGTCACTACACCTTTAGCCTTAGTCCCTTCCGTGTGCCCATTCCGGAGCCCGGTCTAGTGTTTGGTATTTACTCAGGGGAGGTACGGAAGAGGCTACGATGACAGCTGTGGGATTCTTATTAGCTGAGGGAACGCTATTACCGTAACAATACGGATTGTGGACAACGGCTTCGGTGGTCTAGTGGTTAGCGTGCCGAGCTGGCGTTCAAAAGGTCCTGGGTTCGAATCTCGCTGGATGCATTAACTTTTTGTCTCAGATTTTTTCATTATCAGCAAGTTTGGTTGGTTTGGTTCGGTTATGACAGTTTAATTTTATTATTAAGTCATTATAAAATTTTAATTGAGCAATTTCTAGTTTTATTTAATAAACATAATTATTTTTTCTATTACTAATCTTTTTTATATTAGTATTTAATTATCAGCAAGTTTGGTTAGTTTATGATAGTTTAATTTTATAATTGAAAAATTATAAAATTGAATTTGAGGCATTTATAATTTTATTTTATGAACAGAACTATTTTTGCGAATAGTAAACCTTCATTGACAAAGTGCTCTCTACTACAGCGAATTTTGAACTAAATGCCTCATTCGTACCTCCCCTAAGTCAGACCCCTAGTGTTTTTCTGTGCATAGAGTAAGTTTACCCTTGTAAAATTAACACAAATAACTCTATGGAATGTCAAAATGGGATGGGAACAGCCACGGCCACCTTTAACAACAGGCCGCGGCCTGGTAGAATTGGCAACGCCGCAAGCCGCAAGTGGTGTTGTTTAGTGACAGACGTCCCATAAGATAACATGGTGGACAGGTGACATCAGCTCATTAATTCGCACTTTATTGATTTAAATTTAAATTTATGAACATAAATTTATCAAAATATTGAAAATAAAACATACAGAATTGAAAAAAAAAAAAAAACATCCTGTAAACTAAACAACACCACTTGCGACGTTACCAATTCTACCAGGCCGTAAAGGTGGCCGTGGTTACAGGCGGCCGTGGAACAGCTGGCAAATGACACGGGAATCACGGAAAAGAAAGCTTGAAAACTGTCAACAGAATTGTTTGGAAATGAAAATAAAACCATGGAATTGGAATTGTCAAATTGTCGATTTGACTGTTTCTGATCTTTCTGCTTTGTGTACAGAAGAATTTGGTCTATTATACAGTTAATGTAAACTTTATACCTCTCGTCATATACTGTTATTATAAAATATTTCTGACCAAGCATTTTGTTAGGAGGATTTAAAATGAGTTCTAACAATGTCATCAGTATATCACTCGTCCGACCGAAAACAAGTGTTTTAGACAGATCGCTCAGTAAAGGTAGAGGAGAGGTTAACTTGAGTTGTTTCGCCCTATTATTCTCAGAAGTCGTCCAGTACTGCCAAAACAGAGTATATACAGTTCCAGAACTTCAAAACAAGTAAGTTAGGCATTAGGATTTAAATAAATAAGTTTGCAAATTAAATAAGATACTTATAATTTTGCGACGTAATTTGTTAACTTATCAGTTCTTAAATTAGGTTAACATGCATGGTTATGGACACTTAAAAACCATGGGCTGAGTTAAGTGTTATACATTTCTTGCTAAATGCTAACATAACTAGAGACTTAGCTGCCAGTTTCACGTCGATGCTGTATTGCTAGGCCATGAATCATTAATTGCCATTGCTACTTTGTTTGGCTACTTTGACATCCGACTCCTACAATAATTACATAAAAATATCGAACCAAAAACTATCTGTACCCTCAATTGTATCAATTTATGACCACCCTACATATAATCATCTAGGCACTGACGGTAGGTAGGTAGCCTACTAGTGATGATGAATTAGGGAACTTTTTGCGGCTGCACTTTACTTTAGGTCCTACATTCATTCGAATGAAACAATCGATTAATCGATCGTTATTTCATTCGAATGAGTGTAGGACCTAAAGTAAAGTGCAGCCCTTTTTGCAGAAACTTTACTTAGGCATAGGCACTATAATTTAGACCTAAACTTAAATATTCCTCATATGACGGTCTGGCCTTTTTTTCAAAATCTGTTCTACCAGCCGTCCATTTAAACTGGAGGTATTGAGGAACTTGGACATATCATAACCATATAGGCCTAAGACACCAAATGGAAAGAACTAAGCAAATATCTAACTAACCAACAGTATCAAAACTATTAAAAAGAGAAATCCACGACCAAATTATTAATCACTTAGAAACAAACAACCTAGGTAGGTACTTATAAACTGCCAACATGGCTTCCGGAGGAAACGAGCAATGAACACTGCAATTTTGCACAACTCTGCGAAGACATAGCAACTACCTGGGAAGACAGGGAAATTGCATCGGGACCTTTCTTAGACCTTCAAAAGGCGTTCAACTCATTGGACTGGGATATAATTCTACAAAAACTCAAAAAAGTACATAGGCTATTGAAGGAGAATTACTGGCACTATAATATAAAACTATCTTGACCATAGGTACCTACCAATATGTTGAAACTGATCAGCAAATGACAATACAATTTAGTACGTCTACGTTGACAAAAATTTGTCCTGGCAGCAATACATTGAACACCTGTCTAAAAAACTGGCCTCTTCCAAGGCCACACTAAATAAACAGGCCGTAATGCTCCTCTGGCATGACGTCATCATAGGCGACAGCAATGACGTAATTTTTGCTGTTTGTGATCAGCTGCTTGTTTTATTCTTTTCTTGGAAAATATATCTAAAAAAAATAACATCACGTCATTGCCGTCGCCTATGATGACGTCATGCCTGAGGAGCATTACGGCCTGTTTATTTAGTGTGGCCTTGCCTCTGCCCACTATGGCATCAAACGTATTCGCACCATAATCGATGAAGAAACCTCCAGAATAGCCTACTACTCACTCTTTGCTTCTCATCTGAGTTACGAAATTGCAACATGGGGATCATCATCTGCAAATAATATGGACAAACTACCTATCCTTCAAAAGAAAGTGCTAGGAACAATATGCAGGGCACACTACCTAGAACATTGTAAACCCCTATTCATCCAGCTCAAAATCCCCACTGTTTCTCACAATATATCCTAGAAACCATTATCCTAGCTAAACAATCCAATCCAACACTCTGGTCACAATATCATAATCACAACACCAGACCCAAAAACAATATAAACCTGCCACAATACAGTCTAAACAAGTTCAGCAACACCCCAACATACGCAGGTTCTAAATACCTACATAAATCTCCTACTAGACAAAATTAAAAATATTTCAAATATTACAACATTTGTAAAAACACTAAAAAATTACATTACAAACAAAACATACTACTAAAAAAAGGAATACATACAAGAACACACTAATCTAATATATAAAATTCTCGTGTCACAGTGTTTGTCTGCAAACTCCTCCGGAACGACTTCACCGATCGTTATGAAATTTGGTGTGTAAATTCTGTAGGTATGCGAATAGGAAGTAAACTATTTCCCGTTTCGAAATTCTTAAAAGGGCTCCGCCCCAGTGGCTCTGGAGTTTCCCATGTTAACCTTATGAGAAATGGAATTAATGAATCTTAACAGCTGTTTCAATTAAATAGCATTAAAGTTACAAGGATTACCAACAGGGTGCAGCACTATTATAAAAATCTTTATCAAAGTATTATGAACAATAAAAGAGATTACTTTTTAAATTTATGACTACAGTTAATTTGCAACCAAATGGTGAGTGAGCGTAGCGAACGAACATCAACCTGGAGGCGAGTAAGCGTAGCGAACGAGCTAACCTGAAAACAAGTGAGCGCAGCGAACGATTTCCAACCTGAAGGTGAGTGAGCGTAGCGAACGAACTTCAACCAGGACGTGATTGAGCCATGCGATATGAAGTTAAGCGGGGCAAAGCCCGCGGGTACAGCTAGTATATATATATATATATATATATATATATATATAAATACATACATATACATTTACATTGGGCTAGCTGAAAGGCTGCCAAGAGGATGAAAAAGGAGAAATTTTTACGACTCCCCGATCTGATTCAATGATTCAATGATTCAATGATTTATTCGGCCATTAAGCAAAGCAATAGGCTAAGTCAATACAATACAATACAAAGTAATTAAATAATAAATCTGAGGATTGTGGCAAAGAAAGAAGAGGTAAAAAGGTAAAAAAAGGAGTGAACTCACAACCCATTAAGTTACAACAATATGATTGGTTTAAAAAAGTGTGCAGTTATAAAGAGAACCGACAATGTCTCAGGCCTATTATCAGATGAATATTTTTATTTTATTCAGGCCTAAATCGATTAAAATATTTCATTTGATTGGAAAAATATTGAATCTTACTAACTTAAGATTTAAGTAAATTTAGGCCCATTGATTTTCTGTTAGGGGTCTTTTCTTTTTTTAGAAGAAGGTTGCCCGCCACTCTTTTATAGTATGCTGCAACGTTTGGGTTGGGTTAAAATGAAACTAAGCCAATCTCAACTAAACAACCGTTGCAGGGCAGTGTGAAAGTCTTTGAAAAGACTCTTTGACTTCAAATTGTTCATATTCAATACATAGTCACATATTACAATCGATATTATATCTTGATGTGACATATTGAACTAATATTTCATCAGATAATAAGTTACCGTCTATCGTAGGTTCTTTGTGGAACTGTACCCACATAATTTGTTTATTATTATTGTTATATATTATACATTACTTGCGTATTAAATAAGTATAGATTATTATTACCCGCATATGGCCCCTAGCAATGATAACTGAATACTCAAACTCAGAACTGAAATACTTAGGTATAATTAGGCCTATCACACTTACCAGTGCACTTTTTTCAGGTTGGCAAAAATGGGACAAGATGTTGGAGTAAAACTGATCGACCTCTACTTTGTTAGGGAAAGAAATTGCAAAAGGGAAACCAAATTATTGAACATGTTACTATTCATCAAAACTACCTTGTGGAAAGTGAGTTGCTTTAAAAACATTTATCATAAAAAAATGTTTATCATAAACTATTTTAGTAAAATGTTGATAACTAGATTCGGTGCAAATTTTAGCCTTTTCTATTGAGTATATTGATTCATATTAAATGTCAAAAGAACTTGTGTTATTTCAGTTTCACAAAGGTTTCACTTTAAGTTAAACCTTAACCTACCATAACTATTTTTTTGCTGTAGAAAGTTTTGTTTACCTTTAAGCTATTTATCCTACTATTATAGTTGTGAACCAAAGGGTTGGGTCCGTGACCTATGCTAGGTATTGTTTACTGGTGTGGTCACTTTATTCACATATGTAATATTTCGTTGTCACATTTTTTTAGTTGTCTTTGTAATAAGGAAAATAACTCATTTTTATTGGGCTAGCCTTCCTAGTCCCTTTTCGTGTGAACTCAGTTATATAGAACCGGCCGCCACCCGAAGATGAGCAATACTCGGCTTAGGAATACGATACGGACCCAACTCTTTGGTCCATGAAAGTTTTACCTGTGCTCAACAATGAATAAGTGTCTGGGTAGCTGAGTGGTTACAATGCTCGCCTTCAAATCTGAAGGTCGCTGTTTCGATTCCATTGATGGTTGATGCCATTTTCATTGGACTATCAATTAATGATGCTATCTAACAAAAGGTCTGAGTTAGATAGTGTAACAAGGCCGCGGTTTTGGACCATTCCCTTACAAAAAAAAAACCCATTTGTGTGAATAACACCAAAATGAACGACAATGTTATCAATATTAAAAAAGCTACTGTAGAAAACAGATAATATCACAATAAATTAGGCCTATAGAAGACTAAGTTTCCATCAATGGAATTATCATATTTGATTTGTTCCAGTCAGTCGTGCAGCAGTAAAAAAATGTAAACAAATAAAATATTAGGTTTCCCTATTGTTTTGATGGAAACTAATCAATATTTTCCCCCCGAAAGAACTAAGAAGATCATGGGATCTAAGTCAAAGTATCAAAACAGCTATAGAAGTTGTCCAAACTCCAATCATCTACATCCCCTCAAAGAGAAGGATAAATCTTACAGAAACTTTTACCCACTAGTTCATTCAAGTTGTTGCAGTTTGTGGTACCTAGCTACCTCAGGTTACCAACCAATGGTTAAATTTATGATATCTTATGAATCTTAGCTGTAACCTAACTTATTTAATCTATGTTAGGGATTGTTTGGAAGGGAAGCTGACAAACTAGAGCACGCCAATGATGATGAACGGATTTACTACATCATTGAAAAAGAACCTCTGGTCAACAAGTTTATTTCCGTACCCAAAGACAAAGGCAGTCTCAACTGTGCAATATTCATCGCAGGAATCATCGAAGCCGTGCTCAATACTAGTGGATTTGTAAGTATTCTGTAGTGTAAACTCAAATTCATTGTGTATTTCTCGATTTGTATTTCTCCTGGTTACTTGTATTTAATCTGCTATGTACAGTACCGTTATTATGTGACGTCATATAGCCTGATCAAATAAACAAACCCCATTGGTTGTTCCAACACACCACCTTCTGTTCCCACTGCTACCACGATCACCCGGCACTCTCTGTACCTCCAGTCGTCGTCCTACCTCACCGGCTCCCATACGCCATGCGGTCTTTCTTTAAAGGTGTGTTTCGTTTGAGCACCCTATTCTTCTTTCGCGTTTAGGTCCAGATGTGACATATTCTTTGTCATTTTAGTTGTTAATTCTTTAGAAGTTAATTATACAATTAACTTACTATTTTATTTTAATACTATTTTACTATTTTTAGTATTAAAATACTATTTTAAATACTTGACTTAAAATAGTATTTTTCACTTACATGTGCTGCTACCTAAAAGACAGCCTTTGAACTATTACGCTATGGTGTTAATTTACCAGCATTGTTAGTACGGAATACATTAGGTCTGATGATGGCCCAACAGTCTTAGATGTTGCCTCTCTAGCCTTTTCTAATTAATTGTATCTGACTATCAAACACTTGCTTCAAAATAATATTTAATATAAATATACATACCGGTATATATGTGCTCATAGACAAAAAGAATTAAATATAGAACGTCAGCCGTGCTGCGGTTACCATAGGTTCTGGCGCACACTGCTGGGAGCGCCATCTAGTTACGACGTACACGCTTTGTAGCTAGGCGCTCCCAGCGGTGTGCGCCAGAACCTATGGTAACCGCAGCAGGGCTACAGTCAGTATTTAATTCTTTTTGTCTATGGTTGAATTAATGAAAACTGTGGATCATTGGGTCGAAATTAAATAATTGTTCACTATTTAACATTGTTTAAAGCTCATTAATACAATAACTCAAGTAATCTAGCATTATGATTTCCACATTAAGATTGGTCATTGTTCAAATTTGTGGAGCAAGAGTTTTTACTCACAAAGTACATAAAATTATTAAAGAAAGTTTGATGTTTATGAGACTTAAATTTTGTGAAGAATAGATGAACGATGATGAGATTAATTAGTTTTTAAAATCAACATATTTTTCAGACTGCGAAGGTTACTGCTCACTGGCACAAAGGCACAACGTACATGGTCCAGTTTGATGAATCCGTCATCGCAAGAGATAAGCAAATGGAGGAGCGGTAGTTAAATATAAGTATTCTTTAAGTTTTGTATCCAATTTGAATATATTTTAAGTGTAATATTTTTTGTTGAATAAATTAAGCCTATTTACACGTATATTGATTACTTTTGAATACAACATTATGCAGTGATTTATACAGGGTTAGGCAAAAGTCTGGAACCCCCCCAGTTAACTTTTTAACCCGTTGCAGTAGGAAAACCAAACTCAGCACATATGTACAACCTGTATCCAATAAGCTAATGGTACAACATAAGAAATTACACTTTTCCATCAAAGTTACAACTTTGTCCAAGCCCCCAAAATGGGGTATTTTGCGGGCAGCCCCAAATTTTCAAAAGTAAACACCTATCATGTGACCCCTCATTTTAAAGGGTTTCTCAAGACAAATAAAATGGCGCAAACTAGAGGTCAATATCACACCCCTAATCAAAAAGGCAGTCATTTTGAAATTTCCCCTATTAACTTTTTAACAGGCTATATCAGGAAAACTAAACTCAGCATACCTTTATAAAAAAAGAAAATTCACCTTTTGGTCAGTATTAAAATATTAAATGTTTAAAGTTAACTTGGGGTGTCCAGACTTTATCTTGCTTGCACATCTTAAATAATTATAATGGCTGCCATTTTGTTTAGGAGAGCGATATTGACCTCTGGTTTGCGCCATTCAATTTCTCTTAATAAACCCTTTAAAATGAGGGGTTACATGATAGGTGTTTACATTTGAAAATTTGGGGCTGCCCCCAAAATACCCCATTTTGGGGGCTGGGGCAAAGTTGTAACTTTGATGAAAAAGTGCAATTTTTTATGTTGTAAATATATGCCAAATTGGTTTTCCTACTGCAACGCAATTAAAAAGTTAACTGGAGGGTTCCAGACGCTTGCCTAACCCTGTATAACAATTAGATACTGGTAAAACCTCTGAAACTGGTACTCTTTTTCTATTTAAATGTACTGAATTGTCATTATCACTCCGTATTTGTTTTATTATGTTTGAATCTTCCATTTTCATACTAGAAAAGCTCTGAGAAGCTGGTGGGCAACTCTTCAAATCAAATCAAATAAAATATGTCTTTATTCATAATATGTACAATTTATGTACAATGAATGGTGTCAGATCTTATTTCTAAGAAATAAAAATAAGTACATTAAAATTAATCTATTTACAAGTATAATACAGAACACCTCTTTTTACCAACAAATTTTACCAACAACGCCATTTAACTTATTTTATTTAAAAACTCATTAATTGAATAACAAGTGTTCTCAATCATGAATGCCTTTAAATTTTTATTGAATTTCTTAATTTTAGTCACTCTTTTCAAACTTTCGGGCAATCTTTTAACCCTTTGAGTGCCAACGTCCGGGGAACCGGACGTTTTTTAAACGAGCCAAAAGTGCCGACGTCCGGCCGACCGGACGTTTTTAGAACGAGCCAAAAGTGCCAACGTCCGGCTGACCGGACGTTTCGTAATGATCGAACAGTTGTCATAACAACCGAATGGATACTTGGATTCTTTTAACCCATATATTAACATTGAGTCGAAAGTTACTAGATGCGATACATCGATTTTCGTTGGTCGAAATATCGAAAATTCGATTTTTACGAAATTTTAACCTAAAAATCGCCAGATCGCGCTCGGCATTTTTAGCGCGACCTTCGGGAAAAATCATCGGCATTTTTTGAGCGTTACTTTTATTTCTCGCCTGGCACTCTAAGGGTTTTAAAGAATTTGGCACCCTTATATATGGTCTTTTTTTTTATTCTAATCTTTGTGTTTCTAATTTCAAATCATTTTTGTGTCTAGTAAAGTATGATTATGGCGAAGAAAACTAGTATTAGTCATGTTTTGCTTCACATACATAACACATTCATATAATATATATAAATCAAACACCGACAAAATTCCCAGTTCCCTAAACCTATCCTTTACATGAGCCTTGTACTTCAAACCTAGCATGATTCTTATACATTTCTTTTTGAGTTTCAATATCTTTTTTAAGTTTTTGTGAGTTGTTGCTCCGTATACACAAATGTTATATGTGTTGTGCCCTTAAATATATTAAATTAAAACCCATTTTGTTAGAGCCACTTCTTTCATTGTATTTAATAACAAAAACCAAAACTTAAAGTAAACATGAAACAATATATCAAACCAGATGACAAGCAAATAAACAAACTATTAATGTAGACCTCAGGACATCTCCCTCTTAAAGTTCTTCTATGAACCTCTTGGCAGGTTTAACAATTCTGGTAGGTCTGTGTATGGTTGAAGAATGATTATGTAGGTTGGATCTTGGTGTAAGTGTCTGTGTATGGGGGTTTTCTTTATCAGGATTTTCTCTTCCTCCAGAGGAGAACATAGGGAATAAGAATTTTGAATTCCTGATATATCTTCCTCCCTTTTTTGTTTCAACGTTATATTTCCTGTTCTCTAACTTCTCCTTGATTACCCCTTCTTCTCTTCGGTCCGATACCCAAACTTTAGCGTTTTCTGGGTAATCCTTGACCTGGGTCACTCTATGTCTTTTATTGAACTGTTGTTCCTGTTTCCTCTTTTCTTCCATTTGTCTAAGTCTATATCTATTGTGATTTGGAGTGGCTGGAAGTAGAGTTGCTTTATTCACTGGTAGATTTGTTCTTAAAATCCGTCCCATTAACAGTTGTGATGGGCTATAACCACATTCCTTTGGCGTCGTATTGTATGCCAATAAGCCCAGATGTCTATCCTTACACTTCTTTAATATGTTTTTGAAGATTTTCACACCACTTTCAGCTTGACCATTGCACTGATGATGGTATGGTGAACTAGTTTCCACTATGAAGTCGTATTCTGATTTGAATAGTTCCCATTCTTCTGATAGAAATTGCACACCTGAGTCTGATCTAATTGACTCGGGGATGCCATGCTTTTCAAACGATGTCTTCATTGATTTAATCAATATTGCCGTTGAACAGTTAGATACCTTATATACATCGATGTATTTGGAATAATAATCCATGAGAATTATGTATTTATCATTGTTGAATTCACAAAAATCTACTCCGATTTTCTGCCAGGGTCTTTCAGGAACCTCTGTAGGAATCATAGGATGGCGAGGAGGCACTCTGTCAGCAATGCATTGCGGGCAATAGGTTACTTTTTGTTCGATGTGATGATTAATTTTGGGCCACCATACTGACATTTTAGCCCTTTCTTTACATCTTTTAATACCTTGATGACCTTGATGAATATTATCTAACATTTCTTTTCTCAAGGATGGAGGAATCACTATTTGATTATTTCTCATAAGTATATCTTCATTGATCGACAATTCTGCTTGATGATCCCAGTATTCTTTTAATCTTTCATTTAATAGGTTCTTATTTTTAGGCCATCCTTGAATTGTAATATCTAACAATTCCTGTAATTCTTCTCTTTGATTTTTTATTATTACATCTAATTTATTATATGATACTGGGATTGATTGAACTACTGTTCTTACACATGCTTCTGCTTCTTCTGCAAGTTTCTCAATATCTTCCTCTTCAGTTTTGTTGATTGGCGCTCTTGATAACGTGTCGGCAGTTGTTAATTGTTTTCCTGGTACCCACAATATGTCGTACGAATATCTCATTAATCTCATTTTAAATCTCTGAACTCTTAGCGGCAGTTCATCCAAACCCTTACTACTTAAAAGAGGAATCAGAGGTTTATGATCAGTTTGAATTTGAAACTTCAATCCTGTTATAAAATTTTTGAAACGTTCACATGCCCATACTATTGCATAAGCCTCCTTTTCAATTTGTGCATATTTCTGTTGAGTCGGTGTTAAGCTCTTTGATGCGTAGGCCACAGGTTTTAAATGTCCTTGATGTTCTTGCAAAAGTGTTGCACCCAAACCATAAGCTGATGAATCGGCCGAAATTATAGTTCTCCTTTTCAAATTGAATGGTATTAAGGCAGGAGTTGTTTGTAAACTCTTTAAGGCTGTTTTAAATGATTGTTCTTGACTAGGACCCCAAACAAAAGCCCTATCTTTTTTTAGTAGTTCCCTCAGTGGTTGAACGATATCAGCAAGGATTTCTATGAATTTTCCGACATGATTCAACATCCCTAGAAATCTCCTAACACTTCCCACATCACTGGGTGTGGGGAAATCGATTATTGCTTGTAAGTGTTTGGGATCTGCTTGAATCATACCAGAAGAAATAATGTGACCTAAGAATGAAATCTTTGTTTTTCCTATTTCACACTTGTCATCTAAGGTAACTCCTTCTTTTTCCAATTCTTGTAACACTCGGTCTAGTCTGCTGTCATGCTCGGGTTTACTTTCTCCGGTAATTAAAATATCATCCATATAACACAAAATTCCTGGGATGTCTCCAATAATACTTTTCATCCTGTTACAAATGTAAACAGGACATGGATACAATGTAACCTATCACCACTGATAATTAGTCTTTCAAACACTATACAACACGTTTTTAGGTTCAGCTGGCAACACAAATGGTGCCCTAGAGAAAGTAGTACCCGCGGTCCGTATCACTCCGCTATTTTCCCTCGGCAAGAAATATGCTCAGCGTTTTGAGTATATTTTTTTTTTGTCCTAAGGACGCTAGGCACGAGCCTGGGATTGTTTTTCACATTACTTCAGGCTAGACCTAGGGGTTGCGGCATTATCACTTAGATAAAATCCATTGGTGACTTGGCGGGGATCGAACCCGGGACCTCAGGGACTGAAGTCCCGCGCTCTAACCACTACGCCAGCTCGCTCCCCACATTTTGAGAATATAGTACCGTATGTTTTTGTAATTTGAAGTGGTTTCCGTGCCAAAAAAAATGCCTTAAAGGTATTTTCTTGTTTATTAAGATCGTAGGAATGTTTTAAAAACGTTTAAAAGAAAAGTCCAGAAAGTTCAGAAATACCGAAACTAGGGATGGTCAAGTCTCGAAATTTCGGGAAATTTTCGGGAAATTTTAAATCTCGTTACACGAGACGAGATTTCTTTTTGGCCGAGATTTTTATCGAGACGAGAATAAAAAAAAATAAAAAAAAATAAAAAACGCCTGCAGAAAGTCAATGCAATACCCGCAATACAGGAGCGTGTTGTAGT